AAATCTGAGTCCCTAAAAATGTGTTTTCTCCCACTTAGCCGGAGCAGAGCGCGACATCCGCTCGCAAGGTGATAAAATGCTCAGCAGCCGCCATTGCCGCCGCCGCCTTTGCCATTTCTTTTGCTCGCTTCCAACGACGCTTTGCTCTCTTTGCCGTTACGTTGGAAGAAACGATTGATGGCATGAACAATTTTGATCGACGAAGCTCATTCTGACCTCGCTGGGCGAGGACGTGCTTCCGCAGTGAGCTCCCTTTTGAAGGGAAGATCCCATCATTGTTTTTGATTGTCCACAAGGTTCCATGAACGTGCGCGGTTTTTCGAGAAATGTTTGTAAGCATGTTAAAAGGTGTTCAGGTGTGTTCAATCAAAGTCCGGCTCGTCTCCTCCAACCGTCTATGTGTGCGTGCGCGTGTGCGTGTGTCTTGCTTATTGGCATTGTGAGTTTTACTCTGCTTCCTGCATTTTTTTCATCAGAGCCTTCGGTCTCACTCACTGGACATCAGCAACATCGATTCAGGGGTAAAAAAAAATAAAAATATATTCGTCTCGTCGTTAGCCGCACGTTGCTACGGAAAACTTTTGGTGAGCGTCGAGGCTTAAGAGGCGGCTTTTTTTCTTTCTCGGCTTCCTTGCTTGCTTGCTTTCCGCCGCCTCAGAGGTACAGACTTCCCTCCATCGAGTCGCTTGACATTCCGGAGAGCGCCGCGGTCGCCAAGGATACAAGACACGGGCAGTGGCTGCGCAGGAGGCGCCTGGACGGATCGCTCAACCGCGTCCCCGTCGGATTCTACCAGAAAGTCTGGAAGATTCTGCAGAAAGTGAGTGGGTGCGCTGACTCCAGCACATGCCAAGATTGTGTTACTTGACGTTTGCCATCGCCGCCGTAATTTGCTTGAAACGTTACGGTTAAGACTTGAGACTTACTCAGGACTTGCACTTATGCAGCGGATGGCTTGAAAGTGTCCCATGTTGTCTTTCAGTGTCACGGTCTGTCCATCGAGGGCTACGTCCTCCCGTCTTCTACCACCAGAGAGGTGAGTCCGTCGATAACGGAAGCATCTGAGGATTCTTTCAAATTCAGGCTGAGCCCGAACGTGTGTCTCCAAACACTTTTCACGTGACGTATTTACTTACATCTTATTGTTCTTGAAAATCTGAAATCAGGACGTCTGAGCCGACTTTGTTTGTCCAGCCACCGCAGATCAAAATGGCTGCTCTGTGTTTTGGGGGAGAAAATATGGAAAGATAAGGAAAAAGTGACATTATGATCATAAGTTATGGTGATTTTACAAAACATTTTTCAGACAATTTGGCTGTGCTATTTACAAGAGAAACTTTGCCTGTTTGAAAATCAAAAAATGGAAGCAAAGAAAATCCTTCATCCTCACCTGGCGCAAACGCTGGGAAAATTTTGGGGGCCGGGAGGACGAGATTTCAAATGCAGGATGTGGACAATCCCCAGATGACCCCCGGCGAGATCAAGTTTGCGCTCCACGTGGAGACGGTGCTGAACCGCGTCCCGCAGCCAGAGTACCGCCAGCTGCTGGTGGAGGCCATCTTGGTGCTCACCATGCTGGCTGACGTGGACGTCCCCAGCATCGGCTCCATCGTCCACGCCGAGAAGATCGTACAGCTCGCCAACGACATGTTCTGCAAAGATCAGGTTTAATCGCCCGCATCCTTGCTCATCCTGAATGACACCCTTAACCCCCCCCTAACCTCACCCTCGCTCAACTTTTGCTCTCGTCCCTCCAGAGAGACCTGGGCGCAGAAGAGCACATGCTGGAGCGGGACCCGGCCACCGGAGTGTGCAAACTGCTGTACGACAGCGCCCCCAGCGGGCGCTTTGGGAGCATGACCTACCTGACCAAGGCGGTGGCGTTGTACGTGCAGGACTTCCTGCCCGGCGGCTCGTGCGCTGTCCAGTGACGGAAAGCCGCAGGGGTGCATTTCAGATTTTATTTATTTCAGAGCTCTTCAAGAAAGCGAAACAAGTGCCTTAAAGGACATGTTACGCTTCCCCCCCCCCTCAGAAAAAAAAATATTGACAACTATTAATAAATTAATAAAAGCTCTTTTAGGTCAAAGTTCACAACACATTTGACTGATATGTCCCCTTTAACTAAACTTGAAACAGCATGCGTTTATTATGCATGGGGGGGGGGGGTGTTGAATGTCATGGGTTTCCATCAGATTTTTGGGGAGTCATGTGTTCATAACATTTGGTTGATACCAGACATTGTTGCTGTCTGATTGTAGAGTTGATTTCATTCGACTGTCATGTAGTTGCCGTTTAATGTTGTGAGGCAATAAAATGAAAGTTGTTCTGAGCACTTGTGTTTCCTGCGTTGACTAAATGTCTTGATCGACTGACGATTCGAAAAACCGGAGTGAGCTTCTGAAACGCGGCACTAACTCGACTGCCTGAACGGGGTAAGGAGTCACACGAGGTCAAGGTGGATAGAAGCTTAAGGATATCTTTATTCGTATTTGCTACAAGTCAGCATTCAAGATACACACAGACATATTGGGAAGCGACAAGAAGCCTTCGACATTTATGGCGTACAAGTCAACTATTCGAACCGTGAGGCCGAGTGAACACTTAACGCTTCAATTCTATTGCTTTGAAAACGCAGCCTCGTCATCGTCGGATCGCTTCCTGGCCTTCAGCGCATTTGGAAATAAATATCAAATATATCATATATTTGTTATTGCTAACATCAAACCTAGCACACAGTTGAGATACAGTTCTCACTTTTATGGTGTTATTCTTGAAAAGTAAACCTGGACGGAAAATAACAGTCTGGAGCAATTTTCAGGGATACTGGAGGGACATGCACTAGGATGGGATCGGAGGGCGGAGGGGCACGAGCGTCAAACGAGAGGATCATCACGCATGCATTCGGACATCAGTTTCCATCCCGAGTTCACTCCGACGTCCGCGACTCCCGTCCGTGGGTACGAATGTGAGCTTCAGCATGCCGACACACATTCATCTGATGTCAGTTCAAAAGCGTTGCCAACCTTTCCAAGGGGTGCCCGTGGTGTCCTTTTTGTGTTCATGTTATCACAGACGAGTTCGGGTTCCATTTTTCGTCTTTTACGACGTCAAGTTTTAAATTTAACACTAGTTCATTTTTTTCTTGCGACCCCTCAAATTTCAGTTTTCTTGCACAATGTACAGGTCCAAAATGAATTTTTTTGTTTGTTTGTTTTGGGTCCGGTAATTCATGTCATCTGTTATAAAGCATCCCAAACCAAAAATTGTCGAGTCAAGAATGAAACCAATTCCAATCCAATAAATGACATTTAACGAGTGTAATTTTCATGGGTTTGAATTGGACAAAAGTGGACATGACAGAGCCAAAAGGTCCAATTTGATGTTCACACTCTAAAATGGGTATACAGTGGTGCCTTGAGAAACGATACCCTTTATCAAAAAACAAAAAAATCCAAATCTTCTGAGAAAAGAAGACACGATAATAACAACAGCTAAACCGTTTGTGTTCAAATATCCGTTGCTGCTGCTGATGCTAACGTTAGCATGTTGGTAGCTTTTTGCATCGCGTGGGAGCATTAAGCTAGCGGAAGGTAAAGTTATGTTGTTTCAAATATGAAACTTGTAATTCTCTCTGATATTAAAAACCTTGAAACCTCTTTTTGGGATGAAATGATCACTAGTTCCCAAAGTGCCGCTTATCCAACTGAGTTTACTGTCACCAGACAGCCCTCAGATCCGATGTTTGCGCTTGCAAGTCTAAGCAAAAAAAAAAAAAAAAACAAATAAATCTTCTGGATGACTGCTCCTAAATCATATCTCAAGGCACCGCTGCATATTAAAGATAAACAAGCATTTGGAGCGCTGAAGTTGGAAATGACAAAATCCCGACAAAAATCCACACGCTTGGGGAATTCAAATTATATCAGCAGCTCAAATGTTCATTTTAGAAGAAGAAGAAAAAGCAAAGAAATGAGTTGAACACAAATGGCCAGCACAGAGCCCAGAGGGTTAAATCTTGAAGCAACATCCAGTCAGTTGCTCTCGTGTGTGTTATGCAAGGATGTGATTCTGTCTTTTCATCTTTCCATCACATAACGCACCCCCCCCCACCCCTTTCCACCTCCTCCCTCGCCTTTTCCATCCATTCATCGTGCTCCACTGGCTGGCAGGCCAGAGGCTGAGCCAAGGCTCTGTCACATCATCCCGCCGCTGAGTGAATTACTCAGCCTCCATTAGGCTAACGAGAAAAGAGAGCGAGAAGGCCAAACGGGTGCAGCAGCGAGAGCAAAGATGGAGGCGGGACGGGGGACAAGAGAGGGATGACGGATAACAGGAAGCGGGGAAGTGGATGGCGATTGATGGTGAAAGTTGAGAGCCACCAGAAACTAATCACCGACAGGCTGTCATAATTCCCTTTTCCAGGCAGCATAACTGCAAAAAGAATGTCAGTTTCAATCCCTACTACGGTTTTATTTATAGTGGACCTGAATAGCTCCTTCACTAAAAATGTCTTCGTAGTGATAGGGAAGTAGGGAATGATGACTGCGTTCAAAAATCATTCACTCTTTCCCAACTGTTTAATCACTAAATACGCATTCTTAGATAGTGGACTATGAATGACATAATTGTTGCAGGACAAGTACAGCCTACAGGATCCGGAATAAATATTAAATAATACTGTAATACATATTAACAAATGAACTGTAATAAGAGTGAGTGAAATCCCCAATCCACAATGCAACTACAATGAACCCCACAAAGAGCAAAAATACGCAGTTATTGAAACAACAACAAAAAAAGTTTTGTAGTTATATGTAGATGCCACAAGATGGCAGCAAAATATCTTTTTTCTTTTAGACAAAGTGATGGCCTGACTATATGAAGGCATTTCAACAACATTCCGTGGCCCCAACTTTACGCCAAAGCAAAACATGGCTTCGAGAGCAAATAATGGGGGTATGATTCGCAAAAAAAAAAAAAAAAAAAGTACAAACTGATGACTTTGTAAATACATGGGATTCACTCTATATTGTTTTAATTTAAACTGCGTGGATTTTACAAAATGAATCCAAACTTGTACTTTATGTCCGTCCGTGTTTTCCGCAACAACTCATCCAGCAAACAAAAATAATTAACAGAGAATATATTTGATTTCCTCATTGGCATTGTTGCTCAATGGCATCATGGACGCTTATATAGCGGATAAATTACACTCACTATACACATTGTAACAGCACTACCAAATGGCCCAGTCACTACATCGGCCACTATATAGTGGATAGGGAGCGATTCCCGATCAAAATGGCTTATGTTGACGATGAAGGAGAAAATTATTTGTTTTGTTTTTACATCCACATTAACCAACACCAAAATAATCAAACCCTGATGTGTTGGGGAAAAAAAAACAAAAAACAAAAACAGTGCGATATGACAGCAAAGACGAGCAAGTCAGGACATGCACCACAAGTCCCCTCCATAGCCATTCACTTCTCTCAGATGCAAAACACACACACACACACACACGCACACGCACACACACACACACACACACACACACACACACATATATATACATGTAGTCAATAAATTAAGAAGAATCATTCAAAAATAATAAATAGAGATGTACAGTGTTTGAGCATTCTATGTACTACTGTCAATAAAGTCGATTGCGGCTATGGAGGAAATAAGCTTGCCCACTCCCTCAGGACTCTCTTGTGGTTTGAACCCGCCAGTGTCCCCTCCTCGGTACGCCCGCCCAACCCCACCCTCCTCCCTCCCCCAAACCCCCCGGGAACCTCAGAGGTCGGTGCAGCGCTCCTGCTTGCTGTAATGGTCAAACTGGCTCTTCCAGTGCATCATGTAAGAGGACCAGCGGTGGAACTCCACTTTCCACTGGCGCTCGGCCTCATCGATGTTGTCTGGGGGAGGAAAAGGAAACAGTTAAATCGCCTTTTTCTCAAGTATCCATGGTTTGGAGAACTGTGACGAGAGGCTGACGCGGGATACCCCCCCGTCCCGCATTCGAGCCCCATTGCGATTTCTCGCCACCATTGCCACTTATTTACTCGTCAGGTCTTACCAGTGATGTTGAGGAGGCGCGGCAGGAAGTGGTTCCAGAAGGCGCACATCTGGTTCCTCAAACCCCTGTGGACCTTGACGGGCTCCGTGTTGAGCGCCACATATTTCTGCTCGGCGACGGTGAACTGAGGCCATCGCTTCCTGCTCTCCACCGTGCCGTCCACGTTCACGTTGGGATTGCTGCGCACCAACAAGAGACACGGGACGGTGACCGGTTGATCCAATGGACGTGATAACAGATGACGGCGAATCTCACCCGGATCGCGCAAAGTTGGCCCAGTATCTCATGGTGCGGCGACTCAGCTTCTCCTCCTCCTGGGTGTAGTTGAATCTCTTCTCCAGGGGAAGGCCGAAGACAAACTCGATCTCGTAGCCGTGGATGACGCCCATCCACTCGGGCCAGGGCAGGTTGGACGCTCGGTGGTCGAACAGGTAGAGAAAGACCCCTGATTGCAGAGCGTGGGATGAGAAAAGGCTTGGAAGTGTGGATGGAAGACAGCTTGCCGTGGAACACAATCGTATTTTTTTTTTTTTTTTTTTTTTAAGTATGGGTTGAAGCCTTACGGTGGCTGGCACTCATCCTGGGATTGCTTTGGGAAGGACGGATTTATGCGGCCATTGCATTGGACTAATGTGCCTTCAAGCTCAACATAAGTTAACGCCATACCTTATCGGCCTTCAGGTACGGTGCTATTTTTTCCACATAGTGTCCGACTACTTTTTGCCGAAATGCCACAAGATGGTGCCAAAGCAAAATATCAATATTCTACACGAGGTGAGTTTTCCAGCAAATACCGTATTGGCCCGAATATAAGACGGCCCTGATTATAAGACGACCCCCTCTTTTTCAAGACTCAAGTTTGAAAAAAGACTTTTTGAACACCAAATTAATTTTTATACAGAAAATAATCACAGTACATCTGAAACAAATGATTATAACAATATATTTGAGAGAAAAAGCATCTTGAAGTTTACACCATAACTTCTCCTCAGCTGCCGGTTAACCAGGCCGATCTTTGACCCACTTTTCTCCAGATTGCTGCCACGTTTCTCCATTTTCTGTTATCTTTCCTATTATTTTCTTCTCTTTTCTTTATTACCGCTATTTTTTATTTTTCTTCTTCGTGCTACCGCTATTTTTATTTTTATTCTTCGCGACAGGGGTTCGCTTTGGCCTGGTGAGTCAAGTTCAGCATTCGCTTCAATGATATCTGGCGCCATCTAGCGTCATGAATGGGCATAATGTCTAAACCCTGAATATAAGACGACCCCCAGTTTTTCAGTCTTATTTCAATGCAAAAAACGCCGTCTTATATTTGGGCCGATACGGTATTGGAGGATGGCTTCCAGAAAAGAATCCATGAATAAGCCAATTGGTGAATGGTGAAATGGAACGTATCGTCCATGCTGAACGGGGAGGGGGTTGAGCGTACCCGCGTTGGGCTTGAGAGCGTTGTGCTGAGCGAAGGCGCGAGCGAAAAAAGCCAGAGGGCAGATGACGTTGTGGTCGCCCACGATGTCGTCCAAGGCGTCGCGGTTCTTGGCGCCGTTGTTCTCGTCCATCCAGTCAGTGTACTGCAGCACCACCGCCTCCAGGCCGATGTCGTTAGCGTGCGGCACGCTCAGCTTGGCACCTTGCGGAGAGAGCCCGCCGTTCAGAGGCTGAGCGCGAATTCGCTACAGACGGACGGCGGGTCCGTCCCGGGAGAGCCTCACCTTCCAGAAAGTCCCCCCTGGAGATGAGGCTGTCATTGTCCTTGCTGAAGCCGGGCGCGCCGTACAACAGGAAATAGGAACCCTCATCCTGGTTGACTCCGAGAAGGACTTGAGTGTCCTTAAAGTTGCCCGCGTTGAGCATGGCCTCCGGCGTGTCGGGCACAAAGTCGCCGTCCACCACGGGGACGAACGAAAAGCGAAAGATGGACATCCAGGGGAGGACCTGCTCGGAAGATGGCACAAATGTGCTTGACAGACAAGTTCAACATGCGTAAAAATGGTGCCGTAAAACAGCTGACATTCTGCGATCAGCCTGAGTTGAGGAGCACAATGACCGAAAAGATGTGCTGTTTGTTTATTTTATACGTCTTGTCAATTCTTGCTCACTGCTGCTACCTGGAGGCAGTTAACCGCAACTGCCTTTGGTGGTGAACGGCGCGACTCTTATATAAAAATACTGATGTCACCTTCAAATCGAAGTACGGTATTTTCCGCACTAAAAGGCGCACCCAAAAGCCTTCCATTTTCTTAAAAGCTCACAGCGCGCCTTAAAATCCGATGCGCCTTTGTGTATGGTTATTACGGTATTATGTCGACCCCAAAATGGCTCCTTGCTCGAGACATGCTTACAGCGCAGAGTTCAAACTTAAGGTGATCGGGTTACGCAGTTGAACACGGAAATAGAGCAGCGGCAAGAGAGTTCAACGTTAACGAGTCAATGTTAGAACTTGATGTTGGTTAAGTGAACTGTGTCGCTGCTTTATTAAATAAGTTTTACTGACATTTGATCATTCTGGAGCAATGCCACTCAACAGCTAAGCTATGTTAGCTTTTGTCGTTTGTTCAAAGCTTCTTTGATCTGTGACGTGGGTTGCATCGGCGCTGATTGGTTGAACCACCGCGCACAGCAGGGGGCAGCGGACTATGGCCTGCTGAGGCGCGCTTCACCCGAGTGGCGGCATTTTCTTGATCGTAGCTCCATCTAGTGGATGCACTGTAAATTGCGTCTTATAGTGCGGTGCATCCAATATATGAAACAAATTACAAAAATAGGCTATTCATTGAAGGTGCGCCTCATTCCAGCGCACTTTTTAGTGCGGAAAATATGGTAAATATTGTCCACTGTACGTAGTCACGCTTTGTGATATTTGTAGAGTCACTGTAGTCAGATTACGTGACATAAAAAAAGGAAGTCCTTACATTTGCCGTTACTGGAAAACGAGCACATTTTGGAGTTAAGCGTTACGGGCATCGCTGGGCGATGACGGTCATTACCTGAAACTCCTGGTCAATGAGCTCCTGTGGCGTTTTAGTGCGCAGACAGTCGACCAGCTCGGTGTCGTTCCCCCAGTTGCAGCCCACCAATTTGGCCAGCTGCGTGGCCCGCCGGCGGGCCTCGGCCGGGCTGACGGTGGCCCAGGGAGTGTTGGGGACCCCGCTCTGGAGGATGGCCCTGGTGAAGACAGGCCGGCTGTCCGGAGACAAGAGGTGGAATCCCACCGAGGCACCGCCGGCGCTCTCCCCGAAGATGGTCACCTTTTTTTCAGGCGGACAGACAAGCCCGAATCATTCATTGTAAGCCGACATCCAGTCAAGTGTGTAGAGATGAAGAAAAAAAAAAAAACCAACAAACCTGTTTGGGGTTTCCGCCGAAGAAGTGGATGTTGTCTTGGACCCACTGCAAGGCCATCCTCTGGTCCAGCAGGCCCACGTTGCCGGGAGCCTCAGACGAGCCGTCCAGAGCCAGGAAACCGAAAGCGCCAATGCGGTAGTTCATGGACACCACGATGACCGTCTCCGTGTAAGCTAGGTAGCGGCCATCGTACACGTCCAGCGATGAAGAACCGCTGTAGAATCCTGCAAAAAAACAACAGCAAAAAAAAAATATATATATATACTTTGGCCGACTATACTGATGGAAAATGTAGACAGTCAGAAATTATTGTCTCACATGGTGGACAAAAAAAAGTCCACACACCGCTCTTCAAATGCATATTTTTGTGACATTAAAAAAAAAAACGTGCAAGACCAAGAGATCGTGTCTTTGGACTTTTTCCTCAATAATGTGAATGCTGGCCAGTAAAACAACTCAGATAATTAGGTTGCACAAGTGTGCACACCCATTTTTAACTGGGGTTGCGGCTGAGTTCAAAATGAATCATTCAAAATCAAACTCATGAAACTTAAAAGTTCAGATGCTCTAGTAGGCTTTTCCTGACAGGTTTTCTTTCAGAACAGAAGCCCGACTGCTAATCCGAAACGTTTAAAATTCTAAGGTCTCGGTTTCAGCTTATTGATGATACCGCCAGCATGCTTTACTGTTTGGTAAGGTGTTCTTTTGGTGAGGAGCGATGTTGTGCTCATGGCCAAAAAGTTTAAGTAAGGAGATTGTTGCCACATGGACGAAACAGCCAGTACTTGCCAGAAATTCCTGCAGTTGCTTTTCGGCAGCCTCCCTGAACTGTTGTCCTCTTGTCTTTTCATCAATTTTGACGAGACGTCCAGTTTTTGGTAATATAACTGTTGTGCCAGGAAATGGCAGGAAAAGCCAGCTAGAACATCAGAACTTTACTCGGGGCTTTTGTGTGCTGACACCCAATGTGAGTTTGATTTTAATTCACTCTGAATTCAGTCACATCCTCAGTTATAGGAGGGCGTGGACAATAGTGCAACTCATCACAATTTCTTGAGCGCTTTCTCAACAACCGCAGCTGTAATAAAAAGTGTTGCGCAGATGCGCCAATGTACTGTATTGGCCCGAATATAAGACGGTGTTTTTTGCATTGAAATAAGACTGAAAAAGTGGGGGTCATCTTATATTCGGGGTCTAGACATTATACCCATTCACGATGCTAGATGGCACCAGATATCATTGAAGCGAATGCTGAACTCGACTCCCCAGGCCAAAGTGAACCCCTGCCACGAAGAATAAAAATAAAAATAGCGGTAGCACGAAGAAGAAAAATAAAAAATAGCGGGAAAAAGAAAAGAGAAGAAAATAATAGTTTACATCTTTAAATGTTCAGATATTAAGATTTGAATGAGGCAAAATAACATGATTTTTCTCTCAAATATATTGTTATGAGCATTTGTTTCAGATGTACTGTAATTATTTTCTGTATTAAAATTATTTTGGTGTTCAAAAAGTCTTTTTTCAAACTTGAGTCTTGAAAAAGAGGGCGTCGTCTTGTAATCAGGGCCATCTTATATTCGGGCCAATACGGTAAAAGAAAACAATAGCATGTTATTTTTTTTTAAAGTAATTTGAACAGGGGAAATGTGCGGTGTCTGTGTCAGGCGGAGTGGGAGGGAGGATATGTGCCGCAGGAACTCATCTCCCTGTTGGGGTTCCACATCTCGCTGCCTGTGAAGCCGGGGAAGGTGGTGTCCACAAACTGGTAGCAGGCGTTGGGGTAGAGATGGGCCTCATACACGCCCGCCCAGTGACGCTTGGGCTCGGCCGGACGGAAACGCCCCTTCCCGACGGGCGGCTCGGCAAAAGGGATGCCCAGGAAGGCCGTGACGTGACCCCGCTCCAGCACGGGCATGTGGATGCCCCGCACTCGGCCCGCTTGGGTCACGACGGTGAGGTCCGCCTCACTCTGGGAGGATGTGCTCGGAACCAGAAGGGAGAAGAGGACGAGCGGGAACAAGAGAAGGATGGCGGTCTGCATGACGGCGAGCGAGACGCCAAACACGGGAGGGCGGAGGGGCTCGTGGCTCTGTTTCCCCGCAGAACTGCAGACGGACACGGGAGGAGACGGGGTAAGTGGATTACCGCAGCGATGAAGAACAGATCCAAAGTGGAAGAATAAATCAGATGAGGGCATAAAAACAAGGACATCTGGAAGGCTCTTCAAGGAACTTGAGCTTGGGGTAGGAGACGGTTAGACGAAGACGACGTGACGGCAAAAACAAGGACGAGGGAGGTAGATTCTTACTGTCTGACTAAACCTTGCTTCGCCAACAAATTGTCTTCCAAACAAGAGTTTAGATCAAATAATTCAAAAGTAACATTTGGTATCGTGTGCAAGCCGGCGGCATGGCCAAAATAGATCCTCTATACAACGGAGCGGGAATGTTCCAAAATAGTGACGATACCCTACACACGCGCACGCACGCAGTTGGCCCCGGATGCTAATTTTGTCGCTATGACAACCATACATTGCAAAACATAAATAGACGCATGGAAACAGACAGGTGGTCGATATCTGTGTATTGTAGCATGTTTACGACGCAACTAAAAGCGGACTTGACTTCCAGCCATTGGGATATATTTTGACAATAAGCAAAATGGTTTCCTCCGCCGTCGGATGTTGACATGGCGGCTTGTGCCGTAGCTGCAATTCAAGAGTGACCGGGCGAGATTGTGTGCGGACACGGCAGAGGGGCTCTCAGAGCGCTCGGCGGCCCCCGGGTGAGGACACGAGCGGCGGCTGGATCAGCTTTTTATAGACGCGCGGTTCAGTACGGAAGTAGAAGGAGGAGAAATGGACGAAAGCTCTGTACAACGCGCATCCGCAACAGAGTACAGTGGTACCTCCACTTACGAAATTAATTGGTTCTGGAAGAAATTTCTTAAATAGAGACGCGTTTTCCATGTAAATGCCCTAATCCGTTTCGTAACTTGAAACTTTCATATGAAGAGACGTTCGGAAGTAGAGGTACCACTGTACGCGAAACCCAACATCAACACGGTATGTTTGGGGCGTGAAGCTCACCCGTCTGCCCAGAATGCAACAGCGTGTCACGTTCGGGCACCAAACGCCCATAAGTCATATTTGACCCACGGTACTGGGAACATCCCTGAAAGAATCAGCAATGTTTACTTTCTTTCTTTATTTCTTTCTTCCCTACATATCATTTATGGCTGGAATTATGAGGAGGAGCGGGCAGGATTGACCCCCAAAGAGAGCCTGCTGGAAGCTAGTGAGTGGGGGGGTGGGGGTCTTCCCTGATGTTTGGATGTGGACAAAACCCTTGCGGTGCGGTGTAAACACTTTGAATGGGATGCGTCTGTATGGAAGTGTTGGAAAGAGGAGGGCTTGTGTGTCTGTCTGTGTGTGTGTGTGTGTGTGTGGAAGAAGAAAAATAAAAAATAGCGGGAAAAAGAAAAGAGAAGAAAATAATAGTTTACATCTTTAAATGTTCAGATATTAAGATTTGAATGAGGCAAAATAACATGATTTTTCTCTCAAATATATTGTTATGAGCATTTGTTTCAGATGTACTGTAATTATTTTCTGTATTAAAATTATTTTGGTGTTCAAAAAGTCTTTTTTCAAACTTGAGTCTTGAAAAAGAGGGCGTCGTCTTGTAATCAGGGCCATCTTATATTCGGGCCAATACGGTAAAAGAAAACAATAGCATGTTATTTTTTTTTAAAGTAATTTGAACAGGGGAAATGTGCGGTGTCTGTGTCAGGCGGAGTGGGAGGGAGGATATGTGCCGCAGGAATCGTACCTCCGCCGTAGATCCACACCATGACGGTGAGATTGTGAGGTCTGGGTGACGGCGGCACCCACACATTGAGGTAGAGGCAGTCCTCACTCATCTCCCTGTTGGGGTTCCACATCTCGCTGCCTGTGAAGCCGGGGAAGGTGGTGTCCACAAACTGGTAGCAGGCGTTGGGGTAGAGATGGGCCTCATACACGCCCGCCCAGTGACGCTTGGGCTCGGCCGGACGGAAACGCCCCTTCCCGACGGGCGGCTCGGCAAAAGGGATGCCCAGGAAGGCCGTGACGTGACCCCGCTCCAGCACGGGCATGTGGATGCCCCGCACTCGGCCCGCTTGGGTCACGACGGTGAGGTCCGCCTCACTCTGGGAGGATGTGCTCGGAACCAGAAGGGAGAAGAGGACGAGCGGGAACAAGAGAAGGATGGCGGTCTGCATGACGGCGAGCGAGACGCCAAACACGGGAGGGCGGAGGGGCTCGTGGCTCTGTTTCCCCGCAGAACTGCAGACGGACACGGGAGGAGACGGGGTAAGTGGATTACCGCAGCGATGAAGAACAGATCCAAAGTGGAAGAATAAATCAGATGAGGGCATAAAAACAAGGACATCTGGAAGGCTCTTCAAGGAACTTGAGCTTGGGGTAGGAGACGGTTAGACGAAGACGACGTGACGGCAAAAACAAGGACGAGGGAGGTAGATTCTTACTGTCTGACTAAACCTTGCTTCGCCAACAAATTGTCTTCCAAACAAGAGTTTAGATCAAATAATTCAAAAGTAACATTTGGTATCGTGTGCAAGCCGGCGGCATGGCCAAAATAGATCCTCTATACAACGGAGCGGGAATGTTCCAAAATAGTGACGATACCCTACACACGCGCACGCACGCAGTTGGCCCCGGATGCTAATTTTGTCGCTATGACAACCATACATTGCAAAACATAAATAGACGCATGGAAACAGACAGGTGGTCGATATCTGTGTATTGTAGCATGTTTACGACGCAACTAAAAGCGGACTTGACTTCCAGCCATTGGGATATATTTTGACAATAAGCAAAATGGTTTCCTCCGCCGTCGGATGTTGACATGGCGGCTTGTGCCGTAGCTGCAATTCAAGAGTGACCGGGCGAGATTGTGTGCGGACACGGCAGAGGGGCTCTCAGAGCGCTCGGCGGCCCCCGGGTGAGGACACGAGCGGCGGCTGGATCAGCTTTTTATAGACGCGCGGTTCAGTACGGAAGTAGAAGGAGGAGAAATGGACGAAAGCTCTGTACAACGCGCATCCGCAACAGAGTACAGTGGTACCTCCACTTACGAAATTAATTGGTTCTGGAAGAAATTTCTTAAATAGAGACGCGTTTTCCATGTAAATGCCCTAATCCGTTTCGTAACTTGAAACTTTCATATGAAGAGACGTTCGGAAGTAGAGGTACCACTGTACGCGAAACCCAACATCAACACGGTATGTTTGGGGCGTGAAGCTCACCCGTCTGCCCAGAATGCAACAGCGTGTCACGTTCGGGCACCAAACGCCCATAAGTCATATTTGACCCACGGTACTGGGAACATCCCTGAAAGAATCAGCAATGTTTACTTTCTTTCTTTATTTCTTTCTTCCCTACATATCATTTATGGCTGGAATTATGAGGAGGAGCGGGCAGGATTGACCCCCAAAGAGAGCCTGCTGGAAGCTAGTGAGTGGGGGGGTGGGGGTCTTCCCTGATGTTTGGATGTGGACAAAACCCTTGCGGTGCGGTGTAAACACTTTGAATGGGATGCGTCTGTATGGAAGTGTTGGAAAGAGGAGGGCTTGTGTGTCTGTCTGTGTGTGTGTGTGTGTGTGTGTGTGTGTCTCGGGAGGAGGGGGGGGGGGCACCAAGTGGAAAGAAAGTGTGTCACTTCTCAAATTAGACCGAAGAATTTGTGTATGAAGTTCACAGGAGGATTGAATTTACAGGCAGGGACGGACGGTGGCAAGCGGGAAGGGGCATGTCATAAGTTTCCAACCCCCGCCCCCCCCACCACCGTGGAAAACACTCATTGAGTAACACTCATTAATTCATTATATACCTGTGCTGTAAAAAAAAAAAAAATGGATGCAGTGCAAACGAGGCATTTTTGTCTCCGTACTGTGAATGAATAACGACCGCGATTCGCTTCAGCTCGACAACAAAGCCAATTTCAAACGAAGCCCATAGTTGACAACCACATGATTTGGATGTGGATGCGCCTTTTGGTGGATGCTTCAAAGTGTCAACAAGCCAATAAGCCGCCGACTTATTCGAGTGTTGCGCAGCGGCTTGACTGGCAGCAGGGGAATTTTCCATCTGGCAACAGCGCTGGTGCATAAACATAAACACACAAACAGCACATCGTCAAAACACTCAATTAGGGCCGCAACTAATGAGTATTTTTAATACGGTTTATTCTGTCAATTATTTGGGGGGGGATCAATCACATTTTTTTAAGTTAATTTCAATACCTTTTTGGGGAGCCCCCCTCGACACTATTTCAAATTGACAGTGCAGAAGATAATGAAAATTATGATATTTGGTCCGTAACATACAACAGAAAATGGGTAAAAATGTTTTAATTTTTCGTCTTCCAAAGCCAAAGCAGATGTTTGCAAATTTCTTGTTTTGAAAGTACACAAGGATAACCAGTCTGCTTTAATGGACAGCTACAGAAACCAGAAGATATTTACTGTTGGGAGGGTGAAAATTCAGAGGATTGGGACTACAGTATTTTCATTTTAAACCACAATAATAGTCAATTATTTTGAGGAATCAGTTAGCTGTTTATGAATGGATTAATGGTTGCAACGCTATACTTAGTCTGGTAAGAGGTTTGGAAAATTCAAACGTCTGCTCTGAGGCAAAAACGAAAAAGCGGTCACCGTTGCAAGTGGCAGCGCAAATAAGCCGCATGCACGTCGGCTTTGATTTTGCGCGAACAGACAGACAACATGAGCAGAATCCTTTTTACATTTGGTTCTAATTAGGGTATGTAGGAGGAAGCCGGAGTGCTCAGCAATACAAACTTTTGCAAACTCCACATGGGATTGGAAAACCACATCCTCACAAGTCTGAAGCAGATATGCTAGTTAAGCGCTCATGCACCACGCCGCCCTGAAATAAAATATGGATTTGTGTGGAAATTGATGCAAAAACTGTTCCGATGTTTCTCAGCTTGAATGGTATTAGAGGAAATACTGTAAAGACAAATCACATTAGTGTGTGTGTGGGTGTGTGTGTGTGTGTGTGGGGGGGGGGGGTTAAAACAGGTTTGGAAAAATATCACATTATTTTTTTTTTTTTCGATAAAGTGAAGGGCTAAGAAAATGAGCTTAAAAGTGAATATTTTGGCTTGTATGTTAAGGCCAAGTCTACGCACCGTACATAAATAAATGGAGCAGTCGGATTCGTGCGCATCATTCCGTCATCGAGCAAAAGTAAAGCTTGACCGTGCATTGATCTGGTAACCATGACTACGGGTGATGTTGAAAAGATGAACTTAAAAGGCATCATGTCATTTTACGTCGAGTATGATAACAACGCCAAGCGGACGGACCGGATGAGGCCGGCGCAGGTTGTCATCCACTATCCTCTTCTCCTCTCGCGCTTACGTCAATAGACACGCCAAGCAAATGGTTCCAACATCGAGTGCGTGTCATTTGAATGTTTTTGGGAAATGCTTTTTGGCTCCGACCTACCTGGCTTCCCCTTGGGTGGCAAAGCGATAGTGAGCACTTGCGAGGAGGCGCTTCCGACTCCTCCTTCCTCTTCTTCTTCTTTCTCGGACGTACAAATGCACAGTTGTGGACGATATGTCGCGCAGTTTCTTCTCCCGGCAGCAGTGAGTCGTGCTCACATCCAGCAGCAACAACAGCAGCAGCAGCAGCAGGACGTCAACACCGGAGTCTGTAGGGAGAAGGGGGCGGGGGTAATGGGAAGGGCTCGCCAAGTCTCGCGAGAACACTACCGAGTACTGTACAGTCCTGCTCAACAACTTCGTTGTTCAAGATGAACAGTAAAAGCTCAATGGCAGCGCTAGGAAATTAACCTCTTTGCTAGTCTCCCTCCACGTATGAAAAAATATTAAAGATTTTTAAAAAGCGATTTTAAGTCAGGAAACAGGGATATTGAAAGAAACGAGGCCCTTGCAATGTGCATTTCAAAAACGATTTTAGTTCAGGTTTCAGAGGTATTGCTCCATGTGATGTTCAAGTGAGCGGGATTACAAAAGAAAACGATTCCAGTATCGTTGACAGATTGTTTTTTTTTTTTCACTTTTATACAAGTAAGCTAACAACAAAGAAATGGCATTGTTCATAAATAGCCTCGACAGGTCATGTATATATTAAAAAAAAACATAACTGTGGCACATTGCAATTATATAAAGCATCAACACGAAGCAAAAAGGACAGATTACAGCAACTCTAAAACATTGTGATATTAGTCATTCTTCATAAAGGAAAAACAATTCATGCATGTGAGTATTCAAACTAAAACAGCTGGAACAGGTTCATTTGATTTCCATTCATTTCAATGAGGAAAGATGATTGGAGATATAAATGTTTTGGAATATGAGTGCATGGTCACAGAATAAATGAAACTTGTATCTCAAAGTACCACTGTACTTATTTTTCTGACCACCATTTACTCCCTACATTTGAAAATCAAATTTTTTACTCTTTACTTTGTCAAAAAGTCCTGCTACTTTTTCATCAACCTCTGCAAATGACAACACGTCAATAGAGTGAGGGAAAGTCAAGTTTTTGGTACTTATCAAAATAAGTACTGTTCGTTTAATCAGTAAAAACAAATCATTTGTACTGAAGTACATTTTACCATCTGTACGGTACTTCTTTTAGGTAAAGGGGTTGAAACAACGCTTCGCTTTTACCAAGCATCAGTACTGAGTTTGCCAATGATGCTGGCCAAAACCGTGAGAAATAAGAATCGTACGCATACCTGTCAACTTATACGGTTTACCCATAGTTCATACGGATTTTGTGGTGAATCTTACGTATATGGCCATATCGCACAAATCATACGGATTCTGAAAATGTCCGTTCCCCCCCCCCTAACAGGTAGTTCCGTTTGCTTTTGCCCAGAATGGTGCTAGTCTACTCGAATGCTTTCATTTCCGGTAACTTTCCAGTAAATCACGTGGTTCCTAGTTGAAAACAGCAGAGTATTCATTGCATACTTCAGTAGTGTACAAGCAAGTTCTACAAGGAAACAAATATGTCATTCATATTTCGTGGGTTGTTTTCTGCCGTTATTTTGACATATAAAATGCTTTGGTATGTTATAAGGATTTTTTGCTCTTTATAAGGATTTTTTTGGTAGTTTATACAGGTTGGCGCTCCGAAAAGTTGACAGGTATGCCTACGATGCTCGCCTTTGGTCAGCCAGCAATGTCAGGAAGAGACCGAGTAAGAGGAGAGTGGAGGAGGCACTGCAGTGGACCGATTTTAATCAACTTAAGTGCCATCGAGCCGACCTATCCCGCCTCTCTGTTCTCCTTCACGTACATTAAAACACACGCACGCGCATAAGCGCACTCGGGCAACGGCAGTGGGAATCTGGTGCAGTACACATTTTGTTTTGCTGCACTCATTGTCCATGAATTCAACAACACTTTAAAAAAAATCTTATATTAAATTGTTTCAGGACATCCCAGGTGGAGTTTACTGTAAAACTAAACACAGAACATAAAAACTTACACACAATGTTAATTTAAATCCAAGACATGCTTCGTTTTAAAAACATCGCCAGTGCTAATGCTAAAGTCAATGTAAAAATCCATTTAACACGCTAACAGGAAATTAGCATCAACTTCCAGCAGTGTTATTTCTTCAAATAACTAATAGTCACACAGAAACGCCGTCGGAACACATACACAATTAATATAAAAATAGACAAAGGCAAATATTGTCAGTAATCTGTGAAAAAAAAAGAGTTATATTGAGAGAGCTCATTTGCAACTTTCTTCTTCTACACGTCTACTCTCATTGTAAGTGTTTACTGCATAAATCCATGGCACCCCGCTACCCCCAAGAGGTCAAAACGCGAACAGCAGGAACACACGGTATTTTCATTTTATTTGTTATTATTTCCATTATTTCAGTATATTCTTACTTTGTTACTGATTTATTTTCTGGTTGTTCTTCTAAGTTAGACTTCAAGTTGTATTTTGAAGAATTCAAAAAAAAAAAAAAAAATATATATATATATATATATATATATATTTTTTGTCTTGCCAGCACATATTTCCACGTTATGGCATGAAATAAATACCCAAGGTCCCAGGTAAAGTCCCAAAGCGTGTGAAAATAAAAACAGAACAACAAAATAAAATGTTTAAAAACTATGATAAAGAGATAAGGGAGATGCTTGAATGTGTGCAAAGATGCAATCCTGCAAAGCTGCAGTCGAATGAAAATGCAAGAGGTTTGAATTTCACATATTTACACAGTCATTTTGTGCATAACAACAAAGAAGAACGTTCAAGAATAAAGTATTCAACGTGTACGAATGAATGGGCATGAGGCTACGAAGTTTGTTTTGAGTTGTTTTTTAGTAGTTGAATTAATACTGAGTTTTGAAACCAATGTACATCATTTTTATTCATCGCGATTTCAACATCAATCAAAATAACAATGATTTTTTTTTCCATAAATGCCTCACCCTCTTTAATTGTCTTGACTTTCTTTCCTAGTTGGACAACTGTTCATCCTAATGAGAGTCTGTCTGAAAGATGTCCACTTGTGTGACGTGTCAAAAGACACGGAAGCAAATACGACAAGCACCCAGGTGAGTTTTTTCTTTTTGTGGCAACTGTGCACAGCATATGCTTTGGTGGCCATGTAAATGTCAGCGACTTCATCTTGAATAGCCTTGCGCTGACTGCGCCATGAGCACGCGGACTGCTGATCCAGACCTCTTATCTAATTGCCACTGCAGCAACACTGACTGGGCACAACATCAATCTCTCGCTGCTGCCTTCTTCCTACCGCCACCCTTAATCTGCCGTGCCATTCCCTCCCTCCTACCTCGGCGGCTCGTCCGCCTGGGTTCGCTGACGCACCATTTGTGACTTTCGCTTTGATTCGTTGGGGACGGAGCTGGGTTAGTCCGACTTTTGAAAGTTGGACTGTTTGGAAAGCAACAGGAAAAGCAATCTTGAGAGCGAACAAAAAAAAAAAAAAACCTCCAGTAACGCTAACGTATGGCACGGAATGACGTCTCTCCTTGGACTCAACTCTCCTAAGGACGCATGCACCACGCGGCAGCTAAATATACTCTTGTGCACTATTAAAATAAGCAAATGCTCTAATTATGTCAGCCTCACGATCCCATTGCTCAGTCTGACTGATATTTTTAGCGCCTATTCAAACCAAATGTAGTTGTTTCCCCCCCTTGTATTCAAAAGTGTTTTGGACATCTCGATTGTCCTTTGCAGCTCGCAACTCACATTCACCGCAAGCATCTTTCACATTTGCATATGACCAGATTGCTTCATCCAGATATGACTGAGTTCCTCTCATAAGTCACTTTTATTTTATTTCATGCTTTGTATGTTGAATATTTTGGCCGCTGGGTTGCATCTTGGCAGGACCCAAATTCCTCCTGTGAAACAAGATTACGCTGACCCTCAGTGGGTAAACACTGACATTACTCGACACTGCACAAGTGGCCGACTTTGCCTCAGTTTTTTCCGTATCGTATGCTCATTTTCCACATCAAAATGACTATTCAGGGCACTACTAAAACGAGTACGTCTTATGAGTAGGGATCTTGATTACGTGATCGGAAAATCGGGCCCGATTACGTAATTTTCAGATGATTGGAATCCGGGGTAATTCATGGCAGCTTCAATGCGACAAAATATTCCAGAGCTACACAGATATTGCCAAAAGAAAAAAATATATAGACACATTTTATACTATGCAACACAGCGGACGTGCAGAAATGTTGTCCAGTCGTGCAGTGATACTCAGACATTTCTTACTGTCGCCCCGGCGGCCCCTAGTAAACTGCCACACTGGCGCGGTCCACCGCCGTGTTCATCCTCCTCACGTTGAGCTCTGCGGCGAGGCCTCGGGATCTCTTGTAAAAAAAGAGCGAGAGCTGGCGGTCCATGAGGAAGTTGTGGTAGAGGGTGGCGAGGCGGGTGCACAGCACCAGCTGCCACTTTTTGTTTCCCACATCCATGGCTGCGGCCAGAGCTAAGTGGTAGTAGCCTGCCGCATCAAAAGGTTCCTGGAATGAACAAAGGCTGATTGGACCAAAAAAACAGACTGAAGGGACCAAAAAAAAAAAAGAAATGAAGTAATAATAATAATAATAAATAAACGAAGCAATTATTTCAGGAGATGAATGAATTCTTTTACAACTTTGGCTTTGTGTCCAAAAATCCTGTACCTTCAGATTGTAGAAAAGGATGTCGCCCAAGGTCCGATAGACCCTTGCGTAGTAGAGCGCTTCCTCGTCGAACTGCAGGGGGGCCGGGCAGAGGCTCAAGGTCTTCAGGTAGTAGTGTTCGGCCAGCTCACACTGACCTAAACGGTGGTACAAGGTGGCCAGACGATGGTAGGCCACTCGCTCGTTCAGGTGCTGACCTGCATGGAAAGGCGCCAGTCACTGTTAAGACAGTCAAAGCCAAATCCAACAACAAAACAGGCCCTTCCTGTTTTCCTCGTGCAAATGGAAAGTGCAGTTCGACGACCGCGAGCGCTATGCAGGGTGCCCTCTAGTGGTATGCATAAGATTGACGGTATCCAAATCATTATTTAAGTACAGTACATTTTCTGATTTTAAGGGCAAAATTAATGTTCAAATAGTTCATATTGTTAGAATGGCTGACAATTATATTCATGAGGCGTTCCAATAGTTTTGTGTAAATGTGAATGAATCACCAAGAAAAAATATTCACCAGTCGGGCGATCGCTCACTATGCTGAACAGAGGCAGAGGGCCCCATAGCCCAGGGGTGTCAAACTCATTTCACATGGTGGGCCACATACGGCCTCGGTAGATGTCAAGTGGGCCGGACCATTAAAATGATACAATACTTTGCTATAAATAACCAAAACAATATGTCTTTCCTTTGTTTTGGTATAAAGAAGCACAAGAACATTAGGAAAATGTTGAAATTTAATGAACATATCTTTTACAAAACATTTCATGAAGCACCTTACATTTCCTTCGACAAATGTGCAATTTACTTTTATCATTCACATATATGCATTGCAACTGATCCCACTGATTGTACAAACTTTAACAAGTAATTGGTATTGAAAAATATAGTAATGCACTTTAAGATTAAACAAAATTCATAAAGAAAGCAAGTTTTAAAGCATTTACACGTGCATATAAAATCTAAATGTAATCCCTGCCTACACCTTACAAACTAAGGAGAGTGCTATTAAATGTGTAAATGTGAGAGTGCTATTGATAGCGTCTGCTGTCATGGGTCTGTCTCAGTGACAGACTGAGGCTGCTGTTGTCTTCTTCTCTGATCAAAACAGTGTCCCCTTGCGGATACTCAATGAATTGCACCTGATTAAAAATATTAATTCTGTGTCTTTAATGCATTTTTTTCACTTTTACATTATCCTGCGGGCCTGATTGAACTTACTTGCGGGCCGGTTCCGGCCCGCGGGCCGTAAGTTTGACAACGATGCTTTACATAATCATCTCGCGGGCCGGATTAAACTCCTTTGCGGGCCGGATCCGGCCCGCGGGCCGTATGTTTGACACCCCTGCCATAGCCCAAATTCTGCTTCAGGCCAACTCTGAAGTATGTGGTCAATCCAGCGGAAGAGCAAAGACTTGCCCCCTTTCCTACCCAGCGTGATGCTGATGTCCAGAGCGGTGTGAGCAAACTCCACAGCCTCCCCGTACAGTTGGAGATTCAGCATGACTTCTGTCAGCTTGTTGCACAGCCTCAGCCTGCTGGACGCGGCGCCGCTCTTGGCGGCGATGGGAAGAGCGCGATCCTGCGTCAAGCGCACAACATGCCAAAGGATCAAAGATACAACAGATTGGGTTTTTATGCTCAGGCCAAAGCAATCGTGGTGTCAAGCAACTATACTTAAGTGAGTTGAGGAGTTTCTTTTTGATTTTCCAGATTTTTAAACAATACAAATGTAATTTTATATGGCAATTTTTTTTTCTCAGGATTTTTTGACGAAAGAGAAAATGTCCAAACACCGTTTTGGGGGGGGCCTACCCTGTAGTACATGATAGCCTTGTCTCGGTCCTGGCTGCTGTTGAAGAAGACATCACCTGCAGCTTCCAGAAGCTTCAAGATGAACTTGGTGTCTCCTGTGCTCAGAGCGACATCCTGAGCCACCTGACCAACACATGAGGCGAAAAAGGAAAGAAAATTCAAATTTTAATCAGACCGACCAATCAGAGGACAGAAAAGTGCTGACGTAATGTGGGCACCGCGAGGCAAATTTGAAATCTGATCGGGTTGACATTTGCTACTCAAAGCATTGTGTCCTCAATCCACCAATCGTTGCTTCAGTTAGCCGTCTCATTGCTAATGTAGCTGCAGTAACAATGGCCTTCTCCACAGATTGTGATGATTTGGCAGATTGGACTGACACGGCAACACGGAGAGGCTGAAATCTAACTGGACAAAATCAAACAATCAACCAACCATCCACACACCTGCACGTAAAGTTCCACCAGTTCCACCTGGCCGAGGAGGTGGTAGAGCTTGCCGGCTTGTAGCCATCCGTACGCTTCCTTCTCCTTACAGCCCAGGTCGATGAAAATAGCCAGACTGCTCTTGGTGTGATCGAGAGCTGCGCGATAGGCCCTACAGATGGTGAGGAAAGCACTCATTTCAGGTCCTGATGAAAACAATGACTGGAAGAATTCTACAAGTTAACGTCTAGCACTTGACTAGTAGTCAACCTTTTTTGGCCCACGGACCGGTTTCATGTCAGACAATATTTTCAGGCCGGATAGACACAACAATATAATACGATATGACCGGCGTGTGGTATTTTCGAAACATAATAATCAACACGAATCATGACACTAGGAACGTCCTATCTGGCCACAACATTCTCTGGTCGCTATGGTAATGCTTAAACGTGCCTTCAAAATAAGATACATCGCAAATAAAAAGCGCATGAAAAATACGATTCATATCGCCGCTTATTATGCAGAGCAGCCTTGGTGCATGTGAATCTCCTGTTGAGATAAAGCCGTATTTGAAATAGGACTCCTGATACTGTCTATTAAATGAAGCCTTCTCTTTCTTGCAAGTCGTAGGCTCCTCTTCTGTCTCCTGGCTGGGCCTGTACCCTTTCCCGAAAAAACTTTTTAAAGAAGTTTGCTTTTTTTATGCGGGAACCTATCACGTGACCGAGAAGCGCGCATTCACCTGCGTCTAGAGTGACAAACTGTAGACTGATATAACATAGAATCCGGTAATTTTTCAAAATAAAACATCTTTCAGATTCTGTGCGGCCCGGCATCAAATGACCCGCAGACCGGCGGTTGGGGACCCCTGATGTAGAGCACAATTTTGCCTCACTCGTAACATACCGTAGTTATTTTACTCGTGTGTGGATATGTCATATAGTAGCGGAACCCCCCCCCCCCCCCCATGACAAATAAGATGATTCAACACGCTAAAAGAACGACTCTACATGTCTTGGCTCACTAGTCGAGATACATGTTACTCGTGGATCAAAGCTGTGCACTAGTTAGCAACTACATGCTACAAGTACTATGAGTGACATCACGAAAATCATCGGCCAAAAGGACACCTGTGGGTGGCCAATGAGAGGAAGAGCTGGCTGATGGCTTCCTGCACGTCGCCCTCCCGTTCTCGATCAGGCGTCCCATGAAGCAGCTGGACCTGGTACTGGCTGTAGATGATACGCCGGGCCCGGTCTGGACTCTCCCACTCGTAAAGGTGGCACAGACGTCTTACCGCCGTCAGCTGGCCTGGCAAACATTGCCATCGAGATGATCCGTTGTAGTCTAACTCTGCATACATTCTCAGTAACTCAAGATAGAATTCCAGAATATTGGTAGGAAATAAGGACATCGTCTCATTTTGGATACGACGACGGAAGAAGGCAATTTACAGTCTGAGAGGTTCGCTTTGATGGCCAGCAGCAAAGCCCACTCGTAGCATCCTTTCCCATAATGCATCCGCTGCTCCTTCACGCAATGTTGTCCCAGCTGCAGCAGCACGGCGATGAAAGTCGTCTCGTGTCCTCCATCCAGCGCGGAAAAGAGCCGCACAGACTCCATCAGGTGCTTCTGCGCTAGTCCTTTAGCTCCAACCTTGAGACACAGCAGGCCTTTGTGAGAAGGAAGGAAGCACCTCGTCGTTTACTGAGATTCCACTCAGGTCATCATCGGATGCTAATAAGGAGATGAAATACCGAGGTTAGCAAGCGCCACCGCCCAGTTTGGCGTGTCTTCGTACTCCTGGCAGATATCCGCAGCGGCGTGATAGCTCTCCGCTGCCCTCCGAATGTCACCCATGCACCCGAGTGCCACGCCGCGCATGTTGAGTACCAGCCCTTGAAGCCAACCAAATAGCGAACACTCATCAAGTCATGTCGTTTAAGTCCAACTTAAGTCGAGTCTCATGAAAACCAAGTCATCGTCAAGTAGCGTCTTCCATTAGTTTTAGTCATGCAAGTTGAAAATTGGCGACTTAAAGTCTGTCGCGAGTCAAGTCACGAGTCGCCCATCTTTGGTCAAAGGTAAAAACAAAATTGAGGTCCAAACACCAAAACCCCACAAACCTTCCAACGGCATGGAGCAGTGCTGCGGCAGGGCATCCAAGACCGTGTCTAATATGTGCAGCCCCACGTTCGGTTCAAGGTCGTGGATATGGAGCCATGCCAGCCAGATGAGGGCGATCTTGTGTTCTGCCATGTCGGGGGAGGAAGGGGCGGCGCCGATAAGAGCGCGCATGAGTCGGATGGCGTGGCCGAGCATCCCGTGTTGGTAAAAAAGCTGCGAGAGACAAAGGGCCAGCCGGTGCTTCAAAACCGAACGTCGTTCGTGGCCTGGCGCCCCTTGACTGTCGCTCAAGGAGAGACAGCGATGCAAATATGGAGCCACATGGGCTGGGAACGAGTCCCTGTCGGTGGTGTTGTCTGAGACGAGGAGCAGGCTGCTGAGGCCGTCGGTCAGCGTCGCAGAAGGATGCAGCAGCGCGCTACCGGCAGAGCAAATACTAAGATGGCGGAGGCCCATTTCCCTATGCAGCCTCCCTAGCGTTAAATGTCCTCTGCTGGGGGAGACGCTCGACTTTCCCTGAGCTCCTGCGCAAAGAACAAGGAGCCTCTCTAAGTAAGGGACAACTTTTGGCCTCTTTTTCTGAATCCAGTGGTGCCTCGCCAGAAGATAGCAAGCTCGGGCTTCAGCCATTGCGTTTTGAGACAAGATCGCCCTCTTGAGGGCGTGTTCTAGAACCGAGCTTTCCTTCACACATTCCAGGCAGTACGGCGTGCCCATTAACAGGGCCGCCAGTCGCTCGGACATGCCGAAGAAGCTCGCCCTGTTCTTCTGTAACAGATAAACGCCAGCCAGGTTGGAATAAATGCTCGCCAACAGCCTGAGGTCTGCGAAAGTTTCCCGGGGAACGCCGAGCGCCTCCTCAAAGTAAACACGGGCCTGGCTGAATTTGGACTTGGCGGCACTGAACTTGCCCAACAGGAAGCACAAACGAGTCTGGGACCACAATAGCTGTTTCTTCCTGGCGGTTTCTCTGGCGACGGACAGAAAGGAAATCAACTCGTCCTCGCATGAGTGGCCGCAGAAGATGGAGGAGGACACAAGTTCGGGACTTAGTATGTAAAAGGCTCCGAACTCATCTTTGTATTCACGTCCTTTCAGAAAGGACAGCAGAAAAGTGGTGCTCTCCGTGCGTTGTCTTTCTTCAGCTGGTTGCACAGTGAAACAAGGAGCCTCTGCGCGTTGGCCTTCAACTGGATCCATCGCTTCCTCTTGGGTTCTCGTACAAACACACTGAGGGGATCGATGCTTTTGTCCATCGAGAAGCCGCGCCGTATTTTCCAGGAAGTCGGGCTGAACTGGGGCCGAAGGACCTTCTGAAAAAACGAAAAACAAGACGCTGAGACCAGAATCTTCCTCATGTCCGTTGCTTGGGACTCAGTCAGTGAAAGAGCCAGTCGAGAAGGACTTACTTGACCGATTGGTCTTGGAGTCTTGGTAACTGAACACATCTGGGATTGAACAATAAAGAGCACACATTTGTATCTTGCATTCATCTGCAGACTTGCATCAACTCCGTTTGATGCTCAAGTCAAAATCGGATCCCCCGAGCGTCACCGAGGACGATGGAGCCGGAGTTCTTGTTAGCAATTTCAACGGATTCCCTTCTCAAGTTTTCCATCGACAGATTCCTTTTGATCGCTTTTACCTTCACATTTTAGACTATTAGGAAGGCTTTTTGCAATGGATTTCTATCCAGAATCCCCTTTATAAGCACAAAAAAAACCCACAAAAATGTTTCACATTTTTACCTAGTTTGTAGTTAGGGCCAATATCACTTTGAGACGTGCTCTTGAGTAGAGCAGTAGTTTCCTCAATGACGCTGTCTTCATGCAGATTGAAAAAGTCGACTTCTTCCCCGTCTAAAACAGCGTTTACCGACCTGGACTCATGATAAAACAACAACAAACGACACGTCATTACTTCCGGAAGCCATTTTGCATGCTCTGTTTTCACGTTGCGGGGGTCACACTCACTCATAGGTGTCGCCCGAGGGTTTCACCTGGCTCGTCCGCACAAGACCCGCTTCTCTCGTTTCCTCTTTCATGCCCAAGAACCAGTCGTGACAGGACACCAGTCGTCCCACGATGATGATGCGATCATCCGGGGACACGCTGAGCTCATCTGGGCCTTCAGCATCATATCGCGTGGCGGCCACACATGTGCCTGTGGCTGAATACAACAAGATGATGAGTTTAGAAAAAACATTTTTAACAGGATATCTACCGTATGTATTTTGGTCCCAAAATTGACAGTGCGTCCCAACGAGTATGCCGTGAGAAATTATCCATTTTCACTTAATTGGTCTGAAAACGATTTATTTTTTTACACCAACTATCGGTGCTGGTGACCTATAATGATAGGCAGAAGAATCAAATATTTTACACAGAGAAAGTGTAAACTGGGATGAGCTCATCATTATTTCACGACATGACACCTCGACTTCATGAAGGCCTCAGAGAGTTGTGAGCCGTTGCATAATAACACCACATTTACTCTCTCAGCTCATTGGTACGGCGCTAATGTTAGTCATTCTATGCAGAGGATAAAGAATACATCGTCGTGAGTGCTCTCATATTGTCAGTGTATCGTGTCAGTGCTGAACCATGTGTTCAAACAGTACAATGCTCGTATCTCAAGTCTGTGTGAGCAAGTCAAAACAAAAAAAAAAAAAAGGAAAACAGACTGCTCTTAACTCGAAAAACTCATAAGTGGAGTCACTTGTGTGTCATGGCACCCTGAATGTGCCTTGGCTCAAGAAAGGTTGGGAAACGCTGCAATAATCCTGTAGATGCAAATTTCCACCTTACCAAAGTGTAGAGGGAAGTCACGAACGGGTTTCCCATCACCCACCACAATGCTCTCAGCGCAAGACTTAAGAAACCACCTGCGGACACATCACAAGAAATACAACAGCCATTTTCATCGCCACTGCAGAGTGCCGTACATTCACTCCACCGGAAAAATATTGTATGCAATCAGCCCCTGCTATATTGCGGTTCATCTTTTGTGCCAGCGCTATTTTCCGCATGATTTTTAAACAAACTTTTTTTTTTTTTTTTAGGGATTTTGGTAGGATACGAACTGGCAAGTTTCACTTTAGAGTTGTGTTTTGCGTACAGTGCAGAAGCATGTCGTGCCACAACATGACAGGCAAAACTGAGTTCAACTATCCGTAGCTATAGTTGATGTAAGAGCAAGAAGAAGAGGCAGTGAAGAAATACTGGATGGTTCGGTTGGACGTTGTGCCGTTGAAATAAACAACGTTTCATTCACTTTTGTTGTATGTGTTGCTGCTCCGTGTCTGTTAAACGAGCAGTTGTTCTCAGGTTAACAATTACATTGATGCTAACGATACGCCGTTAGCCCGTCTATGCCATTTAGCATAAAATGTTAGCATTAAGCTAGTGAACTTTGTTTTCCGGTTTACAGTAAATGTCAACTGGGAAGGACAAATAAACAATTTTAAAAGGTTTTTCATTAGGTCTCTCTGTGTTTTTTTTTTTTTTCTCCACCTATCAGCCGGCGCAACCCGGTCTCGGACCCGATAAACAGGGCTTCACTCTCGCAGGTGTTCCTAATGGTTTGACTCACTGATGAAAAGGTATGACGGGCTCCAGCGCAGGTTTGGGCGCGGTGCCTCGGGCCCCGTCGGCCAGGCAAAGGACAGTCCAGCCCGAGTCCAGGAAGGGAGGCTCGAAGAGCGCAACGTCGCCCTGCTCCAGGTAGAGGTCAGCTCCGGAGGTGCAACTGTCAAACATCTGGCTGGCGGCGCAGCGAGCAAACAGTGACCCTTGGTGACACAGATCACAACACACAACCCGTTAAATCTGACCAGCTGACAACAAGCAAGTCAGTATTCTCTCATCTGCGCATTATTTTCTTGTACGTGTTGATGACTACCGTCCTCTTTGTATAAACGTACCTTCTTGCATGAGGACCCACGTGTAGATAACATGAAGCGTGTCCTCCGGAGTGGAAACTTCGATTCCAAGCCGGTTTTCCAAAGAAAGGAGCCACATCTTGTGGTCAAACAACAGATGCTCCATGCAATGACTCAGCCGACCTTTGGCAATTATCATCAAGGAGCCGCATGAAAAACATTTTGCAAGCTCAAGACCGAAGCTCGATGTCAACGAACACAACATTCCCAAATTACCGTGCGTGAAATAGGTTGTGAACTTCCACACTTCCTCGAATGCCTTGAACGTGACAAAAATCACTCGGTCTTCACTGTCGACGGCGACCAGGTGAGCAGACAACTCCTAGTTGACACAATGTTTCTTTTTAGATTCATATTTGTTTCTTGGGTCGATTGAGTTCATGCCAGAGTCTGTATTCTTTGACATAAGTACTTCCACTTTTACCAGAGTTCTTTTTTTTTTTCACCACAAGTCTCTGCACTTCTGCTTAAGTACAGTGTGTGAATATTTTCGTCATATCTGCTCGATTCTATTCAAAGTGTACCAATTCCAATGCAGTTGTCCCCCGCCCCTCCCCTACCCGCCCAAACTGCCTCTAGAAGCCGAACGTGAAGCTTCCAAGTGTGTTTTTGCGACGTACCTCAACGAGAGCGCTGAGCTCAGTGCTGTTGGCCTGCTGAATGCGCAGTTTCCCTCGCAGCATTTCCTGCAACTCCTCGTGTGCAGGAAGACGCTCAGGACCCATGACCACATCCAGGCGCACGGGCAGAGCTGAGCACAAAGTGCACCAAAAAGTCAGGGATCGGCATCCAAATCTTCCTGAAAGCCTTCACACCGACGTCAGTCATTTATTTTGAATAACTAAAGCGTCAAAGTACAGCAACTGAGCAGCACAAAATATTTTGTCTCATTGTCAATTCTAGTTCCCAAAAAAAAAAAAAAGAGTTGCCTGTACTCGCTGCAGTATGATGCAGGCTTCAAGATTAATCAGTGACTGCAGAGGGTGAATGTATAAACAGCTTGAAATGGATTCACATGACACGTTTACTACTGGGGTCATTTGGGCTTTTAACAGATCCTAGTTCTGTTCACGAGCTTCAGAGCAACGCATGCAATATGGCAAGTATGCCAAAAACAAAAAAAAAAAAAGAAGTGACCTGTTGGAAGGTTCTCATCAGATGTTCCCTTCGGACCGGCAGCCTCTCTCGAGAAAGCAGCGCCTGGAAGAAACATGGAGAGGAAAGAAGGGAATCCATGAAAATGTATTTGTTCAAATTGTCGCAATGTTTTCCAGCTAAAAATCAACCACGATTAAAAGGCTGTGATGAACATGTGTATGATTAGCAAGATTGGCGACAACATGATGGGGGTGGGGGGTACTTTTTCATACCGAGTCTGTTGTGTCGTCTGCTGTTTTCCATCGTACTGGCTTCTGCTGGTCACACAAGCACACTGTGAGGACACACATCAGCACTTCTCTGAGGAGGAAACAAATGTCAAACCCACAGCGGCTGCTCTGGCTCTCCAAAATAAAGGTTAATGAATTAGGTGGTCATAGACGGTTACATGAAAAGTCAAATAAACACGTTTAAGACATTATTTGACTTTCACGATTGTACCAAATTTAAAAGTAACCCTGACCCTCATGGTGCAACTCTTATTTTGAGGCTACACTCAGTTTGCTCTGCTTCCCTGGATAAAATTATGTACAGGATTTTATTTTCCCATATTGCTCCTTATGTCCTGGTATTTGTTGGTTAATCATCACACAATGAGCAAACAAACCACTTTCCCCCCAAATGGAAAGTGTGGGTGTAGGTGGGTCGGGGGCTGCAGTATGAGAAAAAAAAAAAACACTGAAAGCGACCAGTTTGCTTTCCAAAAGTGTGCAAAGGAGCAGAGGGCTGCTATAGTTTAACCTACTGACAATGTCTACAAAAGTCAATGTTACCCAGCTTGACATAATGTGCATCTCAATTGACTATTTCCAAAATCTATCATCTGTCAGGGACATTTTCCAAATAAAACTCAGATACATTTTTAATGTTAATATGAGGATATTATCATAGCCAGTTTGTGAACTGTAAATGAAAAACGCTGCCATTATTATGACAATAAACAATGCAAGGCCAATAGCCTACTGCCATACAACAAACCAAATAGGTGAAAAACTGATCAAGCCTTCACCAGACGTGTAGTACTAAAAGAAAAGCTGGGTAATGACGTGGCGTCCACGATGACAGTAGCGTCGTCACTTCAAAGATTGTTCAGACTTTCCTTTGTAAGGCAAGAGTTTGACACTGGGTCAAAGGTTTGCATGCCAGACCGCTGGGAGGCGTAGCTACATAATACTGCATCACAGAGCAACTTCAAATAAATGCAAGTAAGAATGACTCACAGCGGATAAACAAATGATTCTTATTTCAAAATAACAGCAAAAATATTTGTGTTTCTTTTTCGGTTGCACAATATCAATTAACGAAAAAAGAGCGATGAATAAAAAATATGATATTACAAAATCTAATCAAAATTCACCATGAAAGGCTGCCGTCGATGATTGGAAGCTTTCCAACGGACCTCATCTTCACTTTTACTTTGACAATCCACCACTGGGTGAACCGGTGACGGTAGCTGCGAGGCGCTAGCTTGACACCCAAAGGTTGGGGCCAAGTCAAAACAATGCATCTTAAATGGCGTCTACAAATTAACGGAAATCTCGAACGCCCCATGCTCGATTGTCGATTCTCAGCCGCTATTGCCTTATGATTCGCGACTCGACCCTCCGCCGACGCTTCGTTTGCATTTCCCCGACCTCGCGCGGATGTTTTTGTCGGCTGCAGATGGAGGCGGCTAGCGGCCGCCTGCTATTAACGTAGCCTGCCGCGGGGCATCAGAGAGCAGAAAGACGGGAAGACAGAACGAAAAACAAACGCACAGACCTCCAGACGAGCACCGGTCCCTCTTCTACGTCGGCACCGGCTGCGGTCCCCATGGCGGACTAGAACTCGTGCTCCGTCCCGTCATGGCTCCGTGCTCCGTGGCGGCGGCCTGCCGCAGCCTGGCCCTCTCGACGTGGCTGCTGTCCTTCTGCTTTGTCCACCTGCTGTGCCTCGACTTCACCGTGGCCGAGCGGGAGGAGTGGTACACGGCCTTCGTCAACATCACCTATGTGGAGCCTGCCACCAAGGCGCTGCGAACCGACAAGACAGAATGCGGCCGCTACGGGGAGCACTCGCCCAAGCGGGACGCCAAGGGGGTGGTAGTCCTGCCCGCCGCCCTGCACGACCGCCAGGCCTGCGACCCCGCCACCCCGTTCGTGACACCGGCCCACGCCGGGGCCTGGGTGGCTCTGATTGCCCGCGGCAACTGCACGTACAAGGACAAGATCCGGCATGCCGCCGAGCGGAACGCCTCGGCCGTGGTCATATTTAACGTGGGCTCGGCCAACGCCAACGACACCATCACCATGCCTCATGCAGGTACGCCTGGCGCTTCCCTCTCCTCTCCTTTGTACATCTCTTGATGAGCACCGGGATTTGGGGTGACATCTTGAAATTAATCTACAATACTCAAGATCATAAAGGGGAACCTAAATTGACCAAAGTTGGCTCAAGATGACGCCTCACAATTAATCAACAGTCCCTCAAACAGGAGGTGAGAGTCTTCAGAGGATGACATCAGCAAGTTGCAACTTTGGTACTGGAAGAGTCACAGAACGGAAGACAAGTAGACAGACATCCAACAGCTTTGGTTAACTTTGTTCTTCAGGATGGGTGCGAGAGGAACGAACAGTTGGGACACATGTGTTAAGGACTTCAGAGAAGGTCAAATAAAGTTCATTTGTAAAGGTTACATTCCACTTATGGTTCATCCTTAAAATTTCACCTTGAAGCCAGATATGCCTTTTGAGGGGTAGTTTATGTAGCACGATGTGGTGTTCAATTCCTGGCAAGTGATTACGAGTGACATGTAGAAAAATAGACATGTCTAATCGAGCTGCCTGCATGATAAAGCGCTCTAATAAGCCTCTTGAAATCAGAACATTACTTGGGGAAGGTGTCGGAACTTGTCCTCAAGCAATGTATTCCACAACTGACACTGAGAGTTTTCCTCTAACCTTTTGAACCGTCCTCCTCACTTTCACAGGCACAGGCGATGTCGTGGCCATCATGATCCCAGAGCCCAAAGGTCGCGAGGTGGTGTCGCTACTGGAACGTAACGTGACAGTCACCATGACCATCACCATCGGGACCAGAAACCTGCAGAAGTACGTGAGCAGGACCTCGGTGGTCTTTGTGTCCATCTCCTTCATCGTGCTGATGATCATCTCGCTGGCCTGGCTCGTCTTCTACTACATCCAGAGGTTCCGATATGCCAACGCGCGAGACCGCAATCAGGTTAGAAACGGGGCGTCCATACGAGGGCTGGGTTAGGAATCGATGACTCATCCTCTTGATATACAGTAGTCATGTCACGTTAAAGTGCTCTTAAAATACCTCGGTAGTAGTTTTATACGATGCAGGAATCATTCGCTCGTTTCCGACTCCCTACTAAGTAATTTTATGTGGATGTTTTAGGGAACTATTTTTGGTCCACTATACGAAATGGAGCTCTTTCAATTGCTCTGAAAAGTTACACAATCACCTGAATATGCCACGAGACGGCGCCAAAGCCATACGTTTAAATCAGTCAGTGATTCCCAGACCTGCTTTGAACTGGAGCGGGGAATAAGCCCAACTCACCGTCCTCCCTTCCAGCGCCGCCTCGGTGACGCAGCCAAGAAGGCCATCAGCAAGCTGCAGGTGCGCACCATCAGAAAGGGCGACCAGGAGACAGAGGGCGACTTTGACAACTGCGCCGTGTGCATCGAAGGCTATAAGGCCAACGACGTGGTCCGCATCCTACCATGCAGGTATTTTTACCCCTCGCATTATTTACCCACTTCCTATTATGCCCATTGGAGTTAATCAGAATTCACCAAGTTAAAGATTTACTCTTCATAGGAAACTAAATATAGTGGCGCCTTGTTAACTCAAAACACTTGTATCGCAAATCATTGTTCCCCAATGAAAGAATGAAAATATATCCCATTGCACCCCCCACCAACAACCCTCCCAAAAAAAAATCCCAATTTTTGTGTTTACGTAAAAATAGCACTCTATAATATTGTCTTTTATAAATAGAATGGAAAGTATCAATCTGTGTGACCTTTATGGTTTAATGCTGCCATCCAATTCAACGTGCTGCTCCCGCTTTTGAGCCTGCCATCGGGAGTAGTGTATTGCTGCAGACACATAGAAGTGTCAAGTTTTACTACTCAATAAATTCATGTAATAGTGGTTCTTCAGACAATAAAGGATATATGCCCGTGAGTGACAGAAACTTTGTGTGTGTTTCATCATTTGTTTACTAATATCTGTTGTTTAAAGGGTTGGCATTATCAATGCTAACCATTAGCATGTCAATGGGATTTTACTTAAAAATTTGCATCAAGCTAGCAGGTGTTTATTTAATTTGAAAACACCACAAGTAATTACCTGTGTTGTTATGTTTAGTTTTAGATTAAATTGATTAGTTCCATGGGAAGTTACCAAAATTCTCGAGCGTAACTTACCTGGAAAGTTAGTCGCAAAAATCTGACTCCATTTGTGTATGTTCTTGAAGACATTTGTTCCACAAGAGCTGCGTGGACCCGTGGCTACTGGACCATCGCACGTGTCCCATGTGCAAGATGAACATCCTGAAGGCGCTGGGCATCGCTGTGAGTACGACGGCGAACGTGAGGCAGCGCCCTGCTCGGCGGCTTTCACTTGGCGTCATTTCTGCTCTGCCCCCCTCGTGTTCAGTTGAATGCCGACTGCCTGGATGATCTACCGCTGGACTACGACCTGGCTCTGGGTGGTGGTGCGGGACCGTTAGCGCTGGAGGCCGTGGTTTCCGGGGCGGCCGGTGACGGCACACTAAGCGAGGGAGGCTCCTCTGTGGTTCTGGATCCGGGGGTGCGACGCATGGGACTCCCGCAGGACTACCAGGACCCACCCGACACCCTGAGGGACAGTCCTGTGACGGCCACCACCGACACGCATACTGGTGAGCTTGACGCTGTGGCGCGATGCGAACTTTCCTTGGGAATTATTCTTCCGTCACTAATATTACAGAAACTTGTCAAGTCACTTACAGATACAATAGTAGACTATTCTTTGTGTCTGCATGTCTCTTACACTACACTGCCTCCCAGTGGCCAAGCTGAGCACAACAAAAGGAGCAGCGCAATTCATTGAATGGCAGTACATTGAATTATTACTCTATGCCTTTATAAAGTACAATTTTGTAGTGTTACTAAAAAAACAGTAATTTTTGAGGGGGTGTTGGAACAGATTAATGCCATTTCCATTCATTTAAGTGGGGAAAGATGATTTGAGATCCAAATATTTTGAGTTACCAGCTTTGTCAAGGAACGACTGTAACTTGTATCTCAAGGCACTGCTGGATTGTACCGACAAGATTAACCAACCTCACTTCCCTTGGAAATGTGGCAGTATCGTCGACATTTACTGGAAATGTAACGCTGAGCATGTCCGTCTTGCATGCTGCAGGTGAGCTCCAGCCGATGGCGAGCAGCGTCTCAGTGGCGTCGCTGGTTATCGCCGTGGAAACGGGTCTGTCGGATGAAGAGGGATCCTATCAAGCGTCTCAAATGGAGGACAAGTCCTGAGAGGAACCTTGAAAAATGTAAAGAAATGGTACATTTAAACAAAAAAAAAAATCAAAATGGGAGACATGGAAGAGGACCTTTGAGTTTGACCCGGTCCCAACCGTCACCTCAACCGCAGCAGGTTTCCCCAAAGACCCGGTCGACTTAGGTTGGGGTTGTTCTCCTCTGCCGGGATGGAAACTGTTACACGTCATCTCATTCCCCAATCGTACCCGGCGTCCCAAATCTCTACTCCTTCGCTTCTGCGGATTCACACTGAACTTCCTGAATCCAGAGAGACCCAAAACGGTTAACGAGGAAACAACTGAAACCAAATGTCACTCCAGTCACGAGTCGAGTCAGACTTAAGGTTGACGTGACTTGACAAGTCTGTTGACATGTAAGAATTCAAGGATTACGTCAAGTTTTAGGAGTTTAATGGAAAAGAAAGTTACTTTTTTTTTTTTTATCGTGGCTAATGTGCAAATCTATGTTGTGACTGAGCAAGTTTGTCTGACTTGACGAACCAGAGTCATGACTTGGTTGAAATTTAGCGGCCATTTGACATTACCTGCTTGTTTTTTTTTGGGGGGGGGGGGTGGACTTGCACATGTGACTTCCTCCCACCTCTGGTTATCTGCTTCGTCTACCTTCTCCGGAATGTTCCAGGACTTGGTCCGCTCACCTCTTGTCCTACTCCAGAATCCCGCCACGAGGCCAATGGACGAACAATTGTGCCGACTTGGTCCCGGCAGCGTTCTAACTGGCAGGGCTCTGTGTTTGTATTTGCCCGCGTGTCCAATTGTAGGGCTCATCCTCCGTCCCCCGAAAAGATGGCAAGAGATGTCGGTACAGCAAGCAGAGATTTCCGAACACATTTCGACATTGGTCCCGTTTGCCGACAATCATTGTTTGGGTCTCGTAACATTTTTCTCTTCCGCTCTTCCCGCCGGCGCCACGGAGAGACGACGCTTCACTACGAGAGCGCGAAATCGTCATGTATTTTGCTACCAGAGGAGATGTTTATTTTTGTAATGCCTAGAAGACTGAGTGGACTCTCCCTCTCCTGCTGCCGGCGTCTTCTACATGGTCAAGCAGCGCCAAGCAACGGGACGTCCTAAAGGTCACAATTGTTTCCATGTTGAGTAATGAACTTGCACAGCTTGAATCCAAAACAAAACGGGTGTCACAAACTCCTTTTAGACGCGGGTCACGTTGTAGCTACGGTTTCAACGGAAGGTATGGAAAATAGTGCCAAGCAAATATTGAAGCATGCTGTCCAATTTGCTTTCAAAGAAGGGTTTGGAGAAATCAAATGTGTGAAGTGTCAATTTCAGTCCAGGTTTTCTTGCCAAATTGAAAAGAACAAATTCATCAGGAAAATTAAGCAGACAGGTCGCGTTTGCTTGAGTGGGCCGCGTCAAATTGAGTTTGGCACCATCGGTTTTGTCAAGTGGAAACATGATGCCATTCTTTGGATATGAATAGCATTTCAAGGTCCAACTGCAATGACATTTTACACTCATCTTAGTGTTGATAGGTCATTAAGAAACTTGCTAGGATGATTTTGTTGGGGGCTGGGAGATACAAACTTTTTTTTCTTTGGTCGTCAAACCTTAACTTACTATCTATCCATTTGTTTGATCACTTGAACACGGTGCAGAGCTTTGTTAGCTGTAATATGTGATGATGATGATGACGTATTGTCATGGCTGCTTTTTCTTTTGTGAATGCTGTTCGAATTAAACTTCTCTCTGTTGTGTTGTAAACTTATACCTCGTTGGTGATTATTGGCAGACCTGTTCATTCTTTGACAATTTCACCACCGCAAAATGAGCGAAAAAAAAACAGCCTTGGCCACTAAGTTTCAAGTGGACAGTTCAGTTTAATGTTTATCGTCTAAAGTTTATGGTTGGCGGCGCCACCTCATCACGGCGAAGACGGAGGTTTTTGTTGTTTGAAGCAAGCAGATCCATCCGTTGTCATTTTTGGGCTGGTCTTTTTGCCATTCTGAAAGACAATGTGTGTGTGTGTGTGTGTGTGTGTCGTGTTTGACGTACCTCGCTTGATTGCTCCTCAAGTGGCGAAAAGGTGGCGAAAAAGTCACTTACCGGTGCACTTCAGTCGGCCAGAGATGAGTTTGGACTGGCGAGAGAATGTGAGAAAGACACAACAGTTTTGAATTCACTCTTCCCAAATTTTATTTCCTATTTCTGCTGGTTCTTTTTTTTTTTTACCTCGCTTCTTTTCGGGCTTCCGCGAACTTGTGTCGCAAGAGGAACGCGGCCACTGCGTCAGCAACCTTCAACCAATCATGACCAATTTGATTAGCAATATTTCATGGAAGACGATAAATAATATTCGCCTATACGTACATATGGATGCACCCAAGCTTAAAAATAAGTTTAGAGTGCAATAATAGGCTTCACTCGATATGTCAAAATTTCTTAATTACGACGACTATTCTCATGAAAGCTATTCCTTTTCAAACTGCTTACTTTGTCTGGTTGGTCTTCTTGCACTGCATGACCACAAGGTGGCAGCACCTGCATCATGAATTTACCTGCAGACAGAGCCCCAAACAAGGGTGGGAGGTAACCAAGTACAAATACTTTACTGTTACTGTACTTAAGTGGGTTAAGTGGTATCTGTATTTTACGGGTTGGTTGTTCTAACCCAATACACTATCTCCTATGTACTTTGTCGAAATAATTTTGTTACTTTTCCCCCCCTCCTCCACAGATGACAATGTGACTTAAAAAGGACGCTAATAGGGCGAAATTTTTCGAAGCTGTGATTTAACGTTTGTAGAGAAGGCGCGCTCGATTTGCGAAACCTGTCCGGTAAGAAACCTCGGCAATTTTGTGGCTACAAACTATTTCACGCGCACCTTATACTTATTTTGGCTACCTTGATTCTGAATGTTTTTTCATGATCAGGATTCGTATCAGGCTTCTTCATTTGAATCAGGTGTGTCGGTAAAGGGAAACATCTAAAACATGCAGGACAGGGGGCCTCGAAGACTGGAATTGGTATCCCCTGCCGTAAGAATTCAAAGTTGCAGATTTTTTTTTTCCAAGGAGGAAAACGTTTTAAAGGGGGAAAAAAATCTTAACTACGCCAAAATCAAATTGTGGCAGGATAAGAGTTGTTATCGTTGTTGTTGTTGTATTTTGCCAATATAATTTTAGGATATGAATGTCAAAGTTGAACATGTGAATTTCAAAGTGACAACCTGATCCTCGCTACTAGAATGCAAATATTCTTGCAAACCCCCCCCCCCCCCACACACATTCCAGATGAAGCAATTGCCGTAGCATTTTCACATTGTGTCTAGCATGGCAAGCAGGAAGGCGTGGCTCACCCTGCATCTGACCGATGGTCAGGTCTCGGTCCAGTCGGTCAATTCCTGCCAACAGGAGAAGTTTGGGCAGGTTGCAGGCCAAAAAAAGGTTGGAGGTTCCCCGAAACCAGCCGTCCCAGTACTTCTCCGACTTGGACAGATCTATACGCCATTTGTAGACACCCTATAGACAACCACGCCAAAGGATAGTCACCTTCGTGATGTTTTGGTCTCATGATGTCAACATGTGAATACAGCGCAAACGTGTTTAAAAAAAATACTTTGGGGGAAAAAAGTACTGAAATTTTGCCCCAAAAGCCCATCGTCTTTTTTTTTTTGTGGGGGTGGGGATATTGCACGTGAGACAGAAGCGTGAATGGCTTTATACCTGGCCTTCGTCGTCACAGTGGCCGGTGCCGGTGTTTTCCTCATCGTTGACGTAGCTTCGGTCGTAGAACTCCTCATTCCGGTCCTCTACCGCGTCATCCCTTGCCGGTCCGGCCCGCTCCAGGACATCGTCTTCCTCAGTCTCACACCTGAGACACAATCACGAACTTGAGTTCAACCGGCAGCGGAGTCACACAACTCTCCTGACCAATTAAAACTAAACCAACCTTTTGATCTGTCCAACCATCGACACTCTGGCAGATTCCAGGTTACGTATTTGTCCGCTCTTGACGCTGACAGACAATGAAACAGAAAGGTCTCATGGAGACGGGGTCTTTAACCCCAATTAGTTCAAAGGCAGCTCACCTCCACTCAATGGCGTGGTCCAAAGACTTGAAGGACTTGGGTCTCCCCTTCAGGAAGTTCTGTATACTGTGAAGCGCCTCCATCGCACTTCCTACCACGTCCGTTGCGGGATGGTCAAATCGCCGACGAACGCACGGAGAACGTTCATCGTGGTAATATGTTTCAAACAGAGCCACGCACAATAAGCGAAAGGCCATCTAAAAATGCCGCTCCAATTTTTGGGTTTAAAAATGGGTAAAACTGCAACCAAATCTGTGGTATAGGTGAACAGCATCAAGCAAATCGTTCAAAGTCCTCACCCTCCACTACGTCGATGGCCACAAGTCCAACGGCGGTGGGCATCAGCGCATTGCTGGCCACGTGCACGGCGATGGCGCCGCCAACACCGTGACCAATCAGGACCACCGGAGGAGGGATCTCGCCGTGGCAGGCCCGGACCACGTTTGCTACGTCGCTGCGAGCGGCATAGGATGTTGAGTCAGCATCTGGTTAGCGGAGTGGCCGCTTTGCTAGCAAGCACTTACCTGGGTTGGAATAGTTTGAGATTTCATTTTAGTTTCATTTTGACTTTTTTTTTCTTCAAATTCAGTTAGTTTAAATTCAAGTACAACTTTATTGTCAAATGCACTGTATGTGCAACATACTTAATTAGTTTTTAAAATTATTAATTAGTTAATTAGAAATTCGTTTTTGAGCAGGCTTGTGTGTTTTATTGCCTCCTGTTGCATACTTTGTTTTAGAATTAGTTTTAGTTTTTTTATGTTGGAGATAGTTGTTGGGTGAAAATTTAAAAAATGGCAACTATGTATTGTGCAATTAAAAATGAAATATTTTAAACCTGTATTAACTTCGAACAACTATATTAACACCTTCGCTGCTTTGCCCCCGATCCCTCTCCCTTCCTCTATTATGGTGCACCTGCAAAATGGGATGTGGTGGCGCTCTGATGTCTGATAAGATAAGAAAACCTTTATTTGTCTCACAATGGAGAAATTCGCAACTTACAGCAGCAAAATTTGCAGGAAAGAAAGTAGAGGAAGATGAAGTATTTGCATGCACAAAATAAATTAAAAAAAATGAACTGTGCACAGTATATGCAATATAAAATATAAAATACAAGCCTATATGCAACTGCATATGTCAACCTGTAATGATTCTGAACTAGCAGATGAACAACCGCCAACAAATTAAACACAGATCGTGTGTAAACAGTTTGCAGACTTTGAAGTGCAATAAGTACATAAAACTGTTTCTAAATGTCAGAATATACGACAAAACCATTCCTAAGACATGCCGGATGGGCTTTGTTTTTATCTCTTTTTCTTATCTTTGGCTCAGGTTGTGTGAGCCGATAAGGGCGGGTCTGGTGGTTGTCCATTGTGATGTCACCAAAAATGAAAAAGAAATAAAAGGAACATTTCAGATGAAAGCTCAAAGCGTTGTTTCATCTTGACAATTGGCTCAAGTTAGACTTTTCAACGTCGTACGAGCAGGAGTCTGTTTGAGGAGTGCCGGGATGGGAGTTGTCGATAGCAACCCTTGGATGAATGTGCATTCTGTTTCCGCACATGGGAACAAAGCGACGAGGGCATTTCAGTACCATCGGTTGGTATATTGTTTGAAATGAAAAAAGGAGAGCACTTGTTACGTAGCATCATGGGCTGAGTGACAAAATAGGCCAGAGCAACAATGCGCCATCATCAACCAGCGCCAGCCAATTTTGACAGCGCTTGCCCGATGGTGTTGTTTCCAGGCAACACGCCGGTAAGTGAACTTCAATTCCAAAATGACTGTCTGACATATCTCTCTCCCTACGGCCATCGCAAAACTGACACAGCTGAAATACATACTTTCAAAATCAAGCCCAAAATGACACGTATGTAGTAAATTAACTATGAAACAAAGTGACATTTTCACTTTGATGTAGAAGTGGAGATTCAGTAGCCTTTTTTTTTTTTAAAACACTTTTCACTTTGCGTTTTATAGAATTGACAAAAATGTTTTTTCTAATCTTTATTTTCAGGACAGGTAAAAACACTTTTCACTTTGCGTTTTATAGAATTGCCAAAAATGTTTTTTCTAATCTTTATTTTCAGGACAGTGGTTACCGCTACTCACGAAATTAATTGGTTCTGGAAGAAATTTCTCAACTAGAAAATGTTAGTAGAGACCCCCCCCCAAACATTCATACATAAATGTTTTCTAAAGCATAAACATGCATCAAAACATGTATCTTTTGTTAGCTTTAAACAATCCTTCAAAAACGTCCAAGGCAAACATTAGCGTAGTGAGCGATCTCCTGACTGGTGAACACATTTTCTGGGTTTTTCACATTTACTTAAAACTATTGGAAGGCCTCATGGCCCGAGGGGCGAATGACAAGGACACATATCCATCTATTTATTGATCTACACATAAACGCGTTTGGTCGGGGAGGTCCCTCTTAGCCAATGGGATGCCAGGATGATGCCCGGTAGTAGCCAATGGCAGAGCAGCTATGAGTGTGTTGCGTTCAAGAAACTCGGAGCTGCGACCAACAGCCCATACAGTACTGTATTTTTACATTTCGTATCTTCAAATTTTTTCTATTGATGCATTTCGTAACTTGAAAATTTCGTAAGTAGAGGTACCACTGTATTTAGTTGGTTTTCGTGAACTCTAATAACGTCTGTGCTTACCTGGACATTGTTTGAGTAGAGAAGTCATCTGATTGGCGGACCAGAGTGTCACCTTGACAGAAGGTCAAAAATCCACAAATCCACTTCATTAGGACTGTGGTCACTGAATCTTTTTACAATTCAATCGATCAACACTTTGATGATTCAAATATTGTAATGACGTAAAAAAATTGGATTTGGCGTAATTCTGGCATTATGTGTGGAGATGTCGTGAGACTCACCGTGCCCCCTGAGGTCCATGGCAAGCACCTGGCAGCCCACTCTGGCAGCAATGGCCGTCTGCAACGCACAAAAGAGTCGGCCGCGTCCTATGGCGAGCCCTTGCACCATTTATTCCAAATCATACTTTGCACCAAGCGGTCCATTTGCATCTTAGCATGCAAGAATGTCTCACTCGTAATGTTTTTCCCCATGACTGTACATTTCCGTGCACAAGTAAAACAACTATGGGAGGCAAAACTGGTCTAAAGTTGGCACCTACCTCCTCATACCAATGAAGTGTTACATGTTTACAGCAGGAATTGTGTAAGTGTGCAACTACACGGACGACCGGGCGCATGACCAGGATATGGAATAAACATCGGCTCATCTTCCCGGAGCGGCCTGCGGACACACTCACAGTAAAAAGGGCCCAGGACAGGGCCGAGTGTCCCCCTCCATGCAGAAGAACCAGCAAGGGGCCCTCACGTCCCGCTTTGTAAACCCTGAAGACGTCTCGGCTGTCGGTCTGACCCACGCTCACGTCCTCCATTTGCTCAAAATACTCCTGCCACGACACGGGCGAGTAGTCCAGTTTCTGGCCCACGTTGCTGGTCCACATGTAGGCACACACAAAGCGACACAGCACCTTGAGGTTCGAGCCGTCGTCGTCAGGCTGAGTCTTTGCTTTGACTTGCGAGCAGAAACTTGGCGGCGGTGAACTCAACTCACTTAACAAGCAGCAGTTGGGCAGATAGTATACAAGTCTACAATTATACTGTCTCGAGTGATCAAGGCAGGTGCACCAGGAGGAGCAGCACAATGAATTGGGTTGCGGCATGAACTCATGAAGCACAAACCGTTGACATTGTATTTCATTGTTATGATTCCATGTTTCGATCAGGTACACAATTACAGAGGATTAGCTTTGCTAACGAAAAATTCCGAGCCCAGTCACGGAACAATTTAAATTTGGATCTCAAGGCACCCGGTGGATCTTTTCAGATTTCTGGATAAGTGACTTACTGCTCCTTGTCAAAGTTCTCCTCCCACATGTTTGCTTCTCAGCGGCTGTAGTGGCACCAGGCCTTTCCCCTCAAACGTCTCACACGCGCTTCGCGACGTCCAGCAGAAGGACGACATCCAACGAATAAGAAGACGCCCCCGTGAGCACGGATACGCACGGCAGAACAATAATGAGTCATCTGGTCGTGTCAGGCGACATCTTGGCAGCGGTGGCCCATTGGCTGATGGTGACAGGAGTGGGCCTGCAGGTTGACACACTTTACTTTTTCAGTTATGTCATTTGCACTTGCGTGTATAAGTTGGCCTAATTTGTAAGCCACGTACCATTCTCTTCAGAAAACATGACTTAGCCGTCATTTGAGTCTTAATGGAAATCAAAGACAAGCCATTCACAAGATCCATGTCTAATTGTGTTTTACTGCTCCATTGTGGTTACTTTTGGCCATTTGAAACACATGAAACTCACTTCACAAATCAACAGCAGTTTGGCAAATAGTGAACAATTTCAAAATCTGTTTGTCACTTATTACACAAATTATTTGAAACAACTGGACAGCTTGGTTTTACGAACATCCCCCGCTAGCTTAATGCTAATATATAATGGAAAATACTTTTGACGTCAACTGTTAGCATCAGTAGTGGCAATTTTACAAGTCTTTAGATCAGGGATGTCTAAACTACGGCCCGGGGGCCATTTGCGGCCAATCATCCTTTGTTTCAGCGGCCCGCGACATAAAGAAATATATATACTAAAAATGACATGTGACATGGGCCGCAAGCTTAGTTAAAAATGGTGAAGGTGGGCAAAGTGAGAAAGGATGATGTACCGAAGAACTTTTGTCTATACTCGAAGATACAAATGAACCATTTATGATTAAAAGAATAATGTATCTCCTTAGGAATGTAGTGAATAGATAAAATATGATAAGATTATTCAATTTTAGAGGCAAAAATAGTTTCTTCCATTTTGTGCTTTATGGCTAATTTATGAAGCTATCACAGTAATGACCCTGAAGTAACTGAAAAATTGTAACGTTACTACAGTTTTTTTCGGTGAAGGAATTATGTTCATTTAAGCTATTGAGTAAAGGCGAAAGAAAATATCAAAAAATGCCTGAGGATTCAAAATCCCAACCAACGGCATCATTAAACAACAACTCCAGCATCAGCACCTGTGTTCCACTTTCAGTTGGAAGTGACACATGCACAGAAGTAGCAAACATTCCCCTCAGGTGTGAATGACAGACAGTAACCTAGTAACCAGCAGAGGAAGACTCCGTCCTCAACTATCAGTTAAGAAAAAAAAATCCATCAATTTCCTTCCACTTATCTGGGGTCACGGGGCAGCAGCTTTATGGGGGAAGCCCAGACTTCCCTCTTTGCAACCACTTGATCAATCTTTTTTTTTTTTTGTCATTGGAGGGGAATACTGAGGTTAATTCACAAATTCACTTGCAGAAATCAAACTTCCTACTCATGGCACAGCTTCACTTTCAATTTGAGACTCTCAATGAAGAAATAATGCCATACATGATACATGCACTCTCAATTCTTCAAAAATGAAGACAGTCAACTTCAACTCTTAACCCAACCCAACTTTATTTATGGAGCACTTTAAAAACAACCATCACTGCATACAAAGTGCTATACATGGAGTAAAAAAAAATAGCCAAAAAAAAAATAAATAGTTGAAACAATAAATTAATATCGAAAGCAGTAAACATCATAAACACACAAAAAATGCTGATCTCATTTTTAGTCGAAAGCCATAGAATAAAAATGTGTTTCAAGTCAACTTTTAAAAATGGACAGGAAGGGGACTTTCCTCGCGCTTAGCGGGGGGTCATTCCAAAGGAAGGGACTGACAACAAAGCAGTTTTAACATCCTCCGAGTCCTTGGTACCTCTTCGTGTATCTGGTTCACAGACTTGAGGGACCGGCGCAGGTGTGGGTGGAGGTGGAAGAGCTCAGAGAAGGAAAGTTGGGTGAGAACGTTTCAATACTTAAAACCAATTGACCCTTGTGTGGATAAGGCGGATCAGAAAATGGATGGATGGATGGATGGATAAAAAGCACCAATTTGCTGGTCCAATTTAAAATCACTGTCCAATTTACAACCCAAATTGGAGATTATTGGCTTGAGATGAGGTACAAGGTGCCCAGGTCAACAGAGTGTGGCGTATCAGGATCTCTGAGACCAAACGCCATAACATCTATTTTCTTCTCATTATAATAACACTTTAAAAAAATTGTGCCATCAAGGCCTTGATTTTTTTCTAGACAAGACAAAAGTGGCCTTCATGAGAAGGCGTTCTTGTTTGCTCAGCAAAATATTGATCTGACTGTCAATCACAGAAGCAGTGAAAGGAATGCTATACTATGCTTTAAGATGGAAGGCAGGGGCAGCAAATAGAAATGGAAACAGGGGCCCCAAAACTGAACCCTGTGGAATGCCACACAACAGCTGGGCAGATGCAGCAGAATCACGTTGCCACATTCAGAACCAAAACAAGAGCACTGTGTACTAAGATGACCTACACACACAGCAGAAAGTGCGAAAAACAACTGCCATTCTCAATATTTGTTACTGTAATTTATTATTCTTCCTCAGGGTGTCATGGATTGGAATTCTGTTACTTTTTTTCAAGTGGTGTGCAGAAAATGAGCAAGACGTGCACAGTGTATCTTGATGGAGCATGGGTCACACCTTCAGTTATAAAAGTGGGCTGCGCACCACAGTAAAAACTCCCATTGATGTGAACAGCACACACGTGCAATCTCTCCTGCAGTGCAGCAGTGCAGTACGGCTTTCCTTGGATGCCAGCCAGAGGCTGATTGTTGCCGCACCACGGTAAGCGATCCTTTTTTTCTTCTTGTCTACTATTTACAAAATGAATAGGAACGTGTGTTCTAATTTTTAAAAATGAGCGATAACCGTAGTTGAGTGAAATGAAGGAGGTCAAGGGTCAAAGACAGTCAAATAAAGCGAGCTTTGAAAAGCTCTTCTAAGTAACTCCTCTGCCATGGTCAAGGACTGCAATATCAGCACGCTGTCGATTGCTCAAGCACGCACTCTGACTCAGCTTTGGGAAGTCGAGCACTACCACCGGAGGGATGGAGATCAGTCATCCCCAAAAGGGAAATGAGAAAGAACGTGATTATTGGTGTTTCACTTGACACGAAAGTATAATACACAAGCAGCGATGACTGAAGCCGAGATAGAAACCAAATGATTACCGTGCCATCTCATAAAGAGCCAACTTCAAAGCCGACGCGACGCTAACGTCAACGTTTCATGGCGGGGCACCTGCAAAAATTTTGCTTCATTCCAAACTATTTTGAACGTGAAGAAAGGTGCTCTTGCGCTGCTGCTGCTAAATCGGTCGGTTGCAGTTAGCCTTCCTCCTCCACTATTTTCGTGACTGTGATGAATGTTGAAGATGTACCCTAGCTGTCAGAAATTAAATGTTTGTTTTGCATTTTGTAGGAGGGCGAGCGAGGCATGATGGAACTGCAGCAGACTAACGCAGTCAAAAGCCAGGTACCTTATTCCAGAGCCGCAACATTAAGAAGTAATCTTCGAGTCTGCATTTTGTGCGCTTTTTGGTCTTCAGCATGCAGGTACGCCGAAACAAGGTGCCACGGTCAGCTTCCACGATATACACTACAAGGTGACACAGACCGCAGGATGTTTGTGCTGGAGGAAGACCACCACCAAAGAGATCCTCATTGACCTCAAGTGAGAAACTCTTTTGATCGTGGAAGCAAGCATTTGTGTACGTGCTGGAGGACCAGGAAGGAAGCACGCTTTGTCCGACACATACAACAATGAGCTGGGCTTTAAAAGAAAAACAAAAAAAAAAAACCACCACATGAATTGTTCCAAAAGAAGCAGACACGGTGTAGACCGCCCAAAATGTCAGCCATTTTTCCCCATTCCATGCATCGATCGAACCCTGGACCTCTGCACTGTGAGGCAGACGTGCTGACCAGCCGTCTGCCGTGCCGCCCTCGTCATTTCTAAATGGAAAAAATGTCACGGATTCGCAATCCCCTAATGGAAGCGCCATGAATCTCGTGTCTGAACAAAGGCCGCACCTGATGTGTTTGTATCTTCGGTGTTTTACTGTCCAGCCCATGTAATCATTGACTAATTCGAGCTGAAGGTGAAGGCCGGGTCAAGTCAACGAACACGTGTTTACAGCTCATTCAACTGCGCTCAATTTCTCTGCTCGTTTTGAAATCATGGTCTGAGGTCTTCAAAAAGACTTGCAAAGATGTGCTCCCCCTCCACAGTGGGATCATGAAGCCTGGCCTCAACGCCATCATGGGAGCAACTGGCAGTGGAAAGTCATCGTGAGTGCCATCAATAAAAAAAAAAAAAAAAAAAAAAATGTAACGCAAAATAATCAACATGTGACGTCACATTTGTTTTGTGGGTTGAAGGTTCCTGGATGTTTTGGCCGCCAGGAAGGATCCTGCAGGTCTGTCAGGTGAAGTCCTCATTGACGGTGCCCCTCAGCCGCCTGACTTTAAATGTCTGTCGGGATACGTGGTGCAGGTGAGCCACTTTGCTCCAAGGCGATACAAACATTAACTTGAAATAATTGAGTTTCAGGGGCCCGTGCTCAGCACTGATGCCTCATGTTTGAGACTGTCCCTTGATTGAAAAAAATGGCATGTATGTTGCCATGTCCGTATATGCGCACACAAGTTACGATTTATGTTAGAATGCCACGAAAAAGACGGACGCCAATCGCAATGGGCTGTCCATTAAAAAATAAAAAAAGTGTTTTGTCTTCTCTGACAGGATGACGTGGTGATGGGAACACTGACAGTCAGAGAGAACTTCAGCTTCTCGGCGGCACTCCGTCTCCCATCCAGTGTTTCCCAGGCCGTCAAGGAGCAGAAAGTGGTCCAACTGATTCAGGAGCTTGGACTGAGCCGCGTGGCCGACTCTCGGGTGAGGCGCGGCATCAAAGGGAGATGCGGGTGTCGGCCCTGAGTACTAACATCGGCATCAATGGGGCAGGTGGGCACCCAGCTGATTCGCGGCATCTCCGGTGGCGAGCGGAAGCGCACCAACATCGGCATGGAGCTCATCATCGACCCGCCCGTTCTATTCCTGGATGAACCCACGACCGGGTTGGATGCCAGCACCGCCAACTCCGTGCTGACGCTGCTCAAAAGGTGCTTCCTCACACCCCAACAAAAAGCAAGTCAAGTCAATTTGATTCATAGAGCACTGAATGACAAAAGTATTTCAAGGTACTCTACACACTGAGCAGCTCAAGAACCCATCCATCCATTTTCTGAACCGCTTTATCCTCACAAGGGTCACAGGGTGTGCTGGAGCCTATCGCATCTATCCTCAGGCAGTCGGCGGGGCATACCCCGAACCGGTTGCAAGCCAATCGCAGGGCACACAGAGACAAACAGCCATCCGCACTCACACTCACTCCCAAGGGACAATTTTGAGTGTTCAATCAGCCTACCATGCATGTTTTTGGAGTGTGGGAGGAAACCGGAGTAGCCGAAGAAAACCCACGCAGGCCTGCGGAGAACATGCAAACTCCACACAGGAAGGCCGGAGCCGGGATCGAACCCACAGCCTCTGCACTGTGAGGTTGATGCGCTAACCACTGGCCCACCAGGCCGCCCAGATCAACAACCGCAATCCTCAAATACTGTACAAAAGAAACCACTTGAGTAAGCATTTGCCACAGTGGGAAAGATACCAGGCTGAGTTGTAAATAACTCGACCCTCCAACAGAAACGGCAGTTAGATTGAGATGGAGAGACAGACTCGTCACTAGAGGTTTAGGGGGTAGTGAAAACAGGGACAGGAACGCAGCCGGGGGAGCGACCAGAGGAATGACGGGCGCAGCAACAGCGATATCAAAAACAGTCATATCCCAGTTGTGAACACCTGTCGCGCTGCCTGATTTGTTTTTTTTTTCCTCCAGGATGGCCAACAGCGGGCGCACCATCATCCTGTCCATCCATCAACCTCGCTACTCCATCTACCGCCTCTTTGACAGCCTCACCCTGCTAGTCAATGGCAGACAGGTCACTTCCGCCACCGAGGTGCATCGTGCTTGAGTGAGACTTCTTACACTGTTCAACTACTCACTCAGGTGTACCACGGCCCGGCACACAGCGCACTGGACTACTTTTCGGAAATCGGTAGGAAGAGCACCGCTCTTAGCTGAGTAGCTAACTGAGGCCTCACATCCAAAACTTCCTTTCGCAGGGTATGTCTGCGAGCCTCACAACAACCCTGCCGACTTCTTCCTGGACGTCATCAACGGGGACTCCACCACAATTGCCGTGGACGGAGAAGGTGTGGTTTGCAAGGAGATGATCTCTGCTCTGTTTTGTTTCACGGCTTCTAATCCTACTTCCAGATGCAGACTCCATGTTGAAATCCAGGCAGAGAATCGAGGACAAACTGGTGGAGGAATACAGAACCTGTTCTGACTTCAACCGGACCAAAGCCGAGTTGGGTAGGGACAAAAACGTCACAGCAAAGACACAAAAAAGAAGAAGAAACAGAAACGGGGCCTCACTGTCTTCCGTCAGAGAGAATTATCCAAGGTAAGAAGACAAGCCGGTCCACTCCCTCCAGAACCATCACCTACAATACCGGCTTCCTGACGCAGTTCCGCTGGGTTCTTAAGAGGACATTCCGCAACCTCCTGCTCAACCCGCAGACCTCCATTGCTCAGGTGAGAGGCCCGAAACCACACCCCACACGCTGCCGCCGTCCTCATCATATGAGTACTCAATAGCTGCATCTAGCTGGAATGAGAAGAACTGCGGCTCAGGCACTTGTCATTTAGGTCGCAGTTACGTTGTTCCTGGCTCTGGTTGTCGGAGCCATTTTCTTCAACGTCCAGGAAGACCAGAGCGGGATCCAAAACAGGTGATCGTCTCTTCATTTGCTTTGGGCTAAACCCTCTTCAGGGATCACAATCGTCCTCTTCCATCTCTCCCGGTCATTCTGCGTCTTCTGCTCGAGCTTCCAGCTATGGGCAAGTCTTGTCTCCACTCATCGTATGTCCGAACCATTTCAGTCTGGCGCCTTGAGCTTCGTCTCCACACCTTCCAGTCTGTGCTGTCCCTCCGATAAAACTCATTCTTGATCCCATCCGTCATCGTCACTCCCAAAAGTATCGCAGCCCAGCTACCTCCGGCACCATCTTCTGCTCATTGCTTACCGTCTCCCAAAAAGACAGCCGGGTTTCACAACCTACCGATAAAGCTTTCCTTTCACTTTAGCTGGCGCTCTTCTGTCACACTTGCCTCTACCTATCGCTTCTGCCCCACCTGTTGTCTTTTCTTCCACTCTCCCAATCGCTGTAAGAAATAGCAACAGGTCACAGGTGAATCATTGCACACAAGTATCCCATTGCTGCCACGCTTCCAGATTCGGCGCCCTCTTCTTCATCACCGTCAACCAGTGTTTCAGCTCCCTGTCTTCGGCCGAGCTCTTCATCGCGGAGAGGAAACTCTTCATGTACGTTTGATGCAGAAAAAAAAACATGTCGATACGTGAAAAAAACGCATAGACGTGACTCTCTCGCTCTCTGGCTACGCAGTCACGAGTACATCAGCGGCTACTACAGAGTGTCTGTCTACTTCCTGTCCAAGATCCTGTCCGACATTCTCACGTTGAGGACCATCCCTGCAATTGTGTTCAGCTGTGTGGCCTACTTCATGATTGGTGGGCAGCAGTCATCACCCAAATTTTGGGCATTGCGCCTCTTTTTGGTCTTAGTACGTCCAGAATGTACACCGGCGGTACTTTGGTTTACATATGGTCTCCAGTTACGAGCCATCACTTGTTTTTGCCCCTGGATCAAAATCTTGCGCGAACGTACCACTGTAGTAGATAAAGCACTTGTGTATGAATTGGGTGCAGGGCTGAAGCCGACGGCAGAGGCGTTCTTCCTCTTCATGTTCACCGTGACTCTGGTGGCGTATACCGCCACCGCCATGGCACTGGCCATCTCCGCCGACCAGACAGTGGTGGCCATCGCCAACATCTTCATGACCATCGCTTGCGTCTTCATGATGGTGACACTCAACACCGCCGGTTTCAGTAGTCTTGTAGCACGTCGACGGGACCAACGGCCACAATATCGGGCGTTTCGTTTCAGATCTTTGCAGGCTTGCTGGTCAATCTCCCTTCCATCGTCAGCTGGCTGGCTTGGCTGAAATACTTGAGCATACCACGCTATGGTCTCGGTGTAAGTCAAAACACTCTCATGGACACCATCTGACCATGTGTGTTTGATTCTCTCGTCATCCAGGTCAGTTCGTTCACCAAAGTTAAACGTAGGCAACTGGACTCTTTTCGGCTGATTGAAACATGTCTTCAGTTCCGAATTTTCGGTATGAAACCCTCACCACCCTACTTGATGTCTCTGGTGAGAGTTGTTGCTGTTGCCCACTCTGGTTAGCTCATTCGTGGTCATCTTTCCCATGGTGTGAGACAATCTTTGGGAGGTTGAGGTGTCAACAAGTGATGGCCTAAACCTCCAACCTTTCTAGTTTGACAGAAAACATTTCTCATACCTAGCAGCCGTCCTATCTGTCCAGAATTTGTCTTCAAAGTAATGTCCCATCTTTTTGAGGTTTGGCTTCCTAATGAGCTAGTGATCGAGTAGTTAGCGCATCGACCTCACAGTGCAGAGGTTTTTGGGTTCGATCCCGGCTCCGGCATTCCTGTGTGGAGTTTGCATGTTCTCCCTGTGCTTGCGTGGGTTTTCTCCGGGTACTCCAGTTTCCTCCCACATTCCAAAAACATGCATGGCAGCATAACGGAGCACTCTATAAAAGTGTCCCAAGGTGTGAATGTGAGCGCAAATGGTTGTTCGTCTCTGTGTGCCCTGCGATTGGCTGGTGACCGGTTCAGGGTGTCCCCCGCCTACTGCCCGAAGACAGCTGGGATCGGCTCCAGCACGCCCGTGACCCTTGTGAGGATAAAAGCGGATCGGAAGTGGGATGGAGGGATGGACGGCTTCCTAATGACTTTGTCGAGGGGTCACTTGGGCTCTCCAATGTCCATGTGACTGACACCTTCACTACACTGCACGCCATTAAGAACATTGCTGAAGCTGGATCTCGGGATTTTGTCTTTGGGGTGAATACGCTTTTGTTCCAGGGTGTAAGCAGCAGCGTTGGAAGTTCATTGGTATGTCGTATTTCGAGAATAGCCTCAAAAGTCCTTTTGGATGGAAAAGTTAAGCGTCTTCAACAACAAAGAGTCCAGTTGCCGCCATTTAACTTTTGGAGAACACCTATTGCAAGTGCAAACAAAAGCCACAAATTCTTTGCGGGTCTCCAGGCTTTGCAGGTGAACGAGTTCTATGGGTTGGACTTCTGTCGCGGCCTAAACAGCAGCATCGTGCCACCGGGGACAATGTAAGAACCGCTTAAGTGTTAACAAGTCTCGTGTGGCGAATGCAAATTTACAAAATTCTAGCATATGAATGTTCAATAAATGATGCGGAACTTTGGTTAAAAAATTGGGATGGACAACGTCGGATTGCAGTATGTCTCAATTAATTTCGGAGTTTTGTAATGGAAAATTTGGAATTCTGGGGGAAACTGGGAATTCTGGATTGTGATAATTCCCAAGATGTACTGAATGGGCGTAACATTTTGAAATTGAAACGGGTGTATCAATTAATGTGGAAAGAATACATACATTTCTAAAACGTCCCTGTTAATGTGGGAGTTGTGTCACACAAAATATATATTGAAGAATGTGTGTATTTTGGATATGTGGTACATTACATCAATTTTGTCCTGAATGAGCTCAATATTTAGAAGCTGTAATGGCTTGATTAGAGCCTTTCTTTCATAACGAGTAAGGCTAGTAAAATCCACATTCAACACCCACGAAGAAGCTATACCAACGCACCCCCCCCCCCCCAAACCCCCCCCCCCCCCAACAATGGAAAGGTTTGCATGACTTACTTTTAGTGATTTAATTCCCCCAACGACCATCCAACTGCGATCATAACTCACGAAATTAGCCCACGGCAGAGATGGGCAAAAGTTTCCTTGACAAAACTTTCCTTCGAACAAGCGCACCTGTTCCAATCAACAGAACATGTTGATGAGCGCAAGGAAATGGCCACTAGGTGGTGCCATTGCTCATTTTTAAATGTGGTTGTCTCCAAGCAAAATCGAAGCTCCAATTGTTTGAATCCCGTGAATAATACATCGTGAAATGTCAAAAAACGAAAAAAAGCGCCATCTTTCTTGAGTTCAAGTTGATATATTTTATATTGGTATCATCAACAGAACACAAAATCAAAAATGCTTTCCAATCGCTCATTTTACACATTAAAAAAATGTAGAATTTTTTCGACTTCGGTTGACGATGACGTCGTCACTAACCATCACATCAAAGGCTGCACTCAGGACGACACCCCAACCACACCGAAACTTTTTTAATACTTCACAGGGACAAACGACTGGGGGGACAGCAGCGTTTCAAAGTCTTTCTTGAAGGTCTTGAGATCATGAGTAACCTTTGAAGCTTCCTTCTACAATCCATTTTTTACAAACCATGCATACTCACATGATGTCACAATTTTCACTCGTTATTGTCTAAAAAAAAAAAAAAATCCAGATTTTTGATCAAGCAATTTTCAACACTTTAAATCTGAAAATAGAGCATAAAAATAACAGATGATTTAGGGAACGGACTGTTCATTTGTGAAAAAAAAAAAAAACATATTTGGACATACATGATAGTTGACCAACAGCGACGAGTTGTAAAAAGATTCCATTCATTTCAATTGGATTTTTTTTTCACTGCAAATATGATATTGTGGAAAAAAGTATTTGAAGAAACGTGAAAAGAATTGCCTGAGTGTCCTTTGTTTTGGGAATTTGCTCAGTTGCAGGGGCCAGGACTTCCTGGACGAGCAAGGTGTGGAATACTCGACTTGGGGCTTCTGGCAGAACCACGTGGCCCTCGGAATCATGACCGTGTGCTTCCTCACCATCGCTTACCTCAAACTGCGCTTCATCAGGAAGTTCACTTAGAGTGGCTTGGACACGACCGAAACAAAAGCAAAAGTTCGGGAGGAGTGAACGAGAGGCGATTAACATGTCTCATGGAAAAAATTACACTCATCTTATTAATTGCACATTTACATTCTGTTATTTATTAGCTAATAGTATTAACTAAATTCATGTTATTTCAATTTGTAATTGCCTAGATACTGTATATCAATATGAGCAATGAATTTGTATCATTTCTGAATTTGAGTTTATTTTTTCAGTTTGAAACCATTTGAATATATATTTTTTTAATTTTAGTATTTTGTTCATCAAGAAGCTATGATTGCAAAAGTCATTTTTGCTGTACGGTCATGTCAATAAAACAGTTTTTTTTCTTTGTGTTTGTGTATTGTCAGCAATCTAGATCACTGCATAGGTTGAATCGAGGCACCAGGACTCTTGCTGTTTTTTTTCCCCCCTTGTTTTCCGAAAAAATTCAATCATGACTTTGACAATTATTATACAAGGCTTACAATGTATTTTTGGGCATTCTGTTGCAATGATGCTCTTTTCCTGTGTACACAAGGAACATCTTGACCTCATGACCTTTTAAAGGTGGTAAAAAGTTGAGATTTGACTGTCCTCCCCTGATCGGAAATGAATCACTAAATCAGACCACAGAGATGAACAAAATAACTTTACTCTCCATAAACTATTGTTTTTCTTGCTTTTTAAAAAAACTACCAATTCATAATTCAGTTGAAATATTTGTTCATGATCAAAATTAGGTACGGCAGTTGTTTTTTTTTTTCATGCACCACTACAGGGAGCCTGAATTTCACTGCTAGGCAAACATGAGAAAAACGGTTCAGATTCGAACCCTAAACCTGAGAACTGCGATGCGGACGTGCTCCACTGAAATCGAATACAACAAAACACATTCAACGCAGTGTAGGTTAGCAAATATATTTAAATATATTTATCTTCATTTTAGCACAATGACAAAATGGCATTATTACATTTGACTTGAAGTCATGACAACAAGCAGCAATTTCACGCTCGGCAGAATAAAACACTTTGTTGGAAAAAACAAATCCGGAATGACTTTCCCAAACGGCTTGAATGGCATCATGCAAATTCCAGAAGCGCGGGCACTCCTTTTTGTGGACGACTCACAAGTCACCAGCAGCCGAGTCCAACGCGTGGACTCGTTCTGTTACCCTTCGGGGAAATAAAAGCTCTCGCCACAGCACTGCCAGTTAGTCAAACATCAGGGCACGCACGTAAAAACGACAACATATTGGCTTGAAATAAATTAATCATATCAAAGGAACACAGTGGTTTATATTTAAAATACATATTTACATAGAGTCAAGAAAATGAAAAACAAACAGTCTTTAAGCACAAATGACTTCACCAAATATCTGCCTCTCGTGTTTTTGTTTTTGTTTCCCTAACTTGATATGTACTTGCGATGGAAACCAAGATCGGACATCATTTGTCATTGATATGTTGTTCTGCTATGTGCCTCATCGACGTCTGGCTCACAGTTACCATGGCGACCGAGCAGGAAGCTGCAAGGGGATGCGCCGCCGCCGCCGCCTCGGAAAGAAAACGATTTGGGACCAAGAGAGTAAACGAGCGTACAAAATGACCAAAGAAGAAGTCGGCTGCTCAAAAATGTTACAGTCACACAAACGAGTCGCAATTTTTAAAAAGAAGGAACAAAGGTAGTAAAGACGGCGTTGTCATCCTCGCCTCACATGTACAAGCATGCTGGAGGCCAAAAGTTCCATCGGAAAAATCCGGAAACGCCATCATCCACTCGATGTGGTTCGGCCGGGAAAAGTGCAGTTTGAAGAGACTAGCGACAGGGGGCGACATTTACAATCCACTCAATACACCATGCGGCAAATGAGCCGCGGCAAAGCAGTGGCGGGACATGCAACGAGTGCGGTTGCCGGTGTGAGTGCGCTCTCCAAAGTCTCTTTACGATTGGATACGTTTGACTACAAAACGGGCAGACAAATCTGCGGAAATGACGACAAAACACAAATTGTGCTTGAACGTTGGACTGAATTGGTTTGAGATGTGAGACTGAAACAGGCGCACGTTACGTTGCAGAGGTACTGTTGGAATATGTGTCCCAAGAACATTCCGACACAATTTTTGTGAGCTTGTGTGAGAAATATTCCACTTTGGAGGAATGTGATCAATTCTCAAAATGTTGTGAATGAGCTAAACATTTTTGACACTTTTTTTTTTTTTTTGGGTGTGTGCTTGGGTGGAAAATGTGGAACTGTTGGAAAAGTGGGAATTATTCATTTGTGGCTCTGCTTAATTTACGCGGTGTCGTGCATAGAACCGACCTGGTTAATATATCTCCCCAACTGCTTTCTAACACATTTTTAGAATTGTAAAGAGACTTTGTGGACATTTCCAGCTGTGATAAGCGCTAACAATGCCATACCTGGCGGCCAAAACAACGATGACAAAAAGAGATGAAAGGAAGAAGGAGGAAACGGGAACACGTAGCACAACCAGAAGGTGTTTTAAATGCCAGGGCAAAGGCAGGAGGGGAGGAGGGAGGGGAGGAGGGAGGGT